CTTATTTGGTGAAAAGCACTGACAGAAATGCTTAACACCGATTCACCGAACACTGGTTAAGCTGGCATGTGTGACGAAGCGTAGCAAATATCCGGCTATACAAAGCTTTGTGCATACTACGATTAACACCGCTAAAGATGTAATACCTATGAAGATTGTTGCTTTGACAATGTATTTAAACCCCCAGAAACATTCTGAATAATAAATACGTCATCTTTTTCTAAATTAGAATGAATAAAAGAAAGTTGTGAACTGTATTTCAACCCAAGTCTCTTATCCAGAGGTGGATTAAGTACCAATAGCACTTCCCCCTTCTCCCTTATGCGCTTCTCTAGCTCCCATATGTGTGATAGTGATGACTTCAAAGTTTAGTTGTCATTTCTTTACTAGGCCTTTTTTTTTTACGTGTGGCTACTTCAGTGCATACATTGGCTGTCACCCCACCGGGGTTTGCGGTAGGGCGGTGTATCGGAGTCGAAGGAAGATACCCCGGATCCAACAGATGCCCCCTTCAAGGCTTATGAAAGAACAAGGCCTTAGATTTGTGCAGAGATCGAGTCGCCGGATCCTCACAGAGTACCTTACCGCACGCCGTCACGAGCGTGTCGTCCGCGTAGCTTGTGATGGCAACATCATCCAAGAAGGCACCGCGGAGCACCCAGACGTAGCCCATATTCCACAGGAGCGCCCCTAACACCGACCCCTGCGGAACACCGCACCCGGATCGAAACCGTTCCTACTTGGGTAGATGACGACATCGGACCCCTCCTAGCGCCTATCCTTTAAAAGCGTGGGCACTACCTTCGGGAATAAACTCTCATAGGCCACACGCCCCGCGAGAGCAAAATGGAAGGCCCGCCAGCTATAGAGCGTGTAACGACTGGTAGCAAGAAATCCTCTCCGATAACTGCAATGAGTGCCCGACGAGCAGTGTGTGCAGAGCCGAGTTGAAACTGCATTGCAGTGGTGACAGGCACAAATGACAAATCAATTCATTCCTAGCGATCAACAGCTGGTAACTCCCTAAGCTGTAATGCCTAGAAAAGACCTGTGTCAGTTGAAAAGAAAAGGTCTTGTGTGGCCACCCTGCCCCTAGACTATGACCAGCTGGACCGCCTCCACGGCGCCAAAGCCAGTACGTGGAGTCTCCAGGCGGGACGACCAATGAGTCATCGTGGCCCGGCAAGCGGCCTTTAGCCACCCATTTCCGCCTCTAAATTCAAAGAGATCTGCCAGCACATTCTGAGGTTAACACTTTTAGAGCGCGCCTTATTCTGAGCGATGAGAGCTTCCGCCCACATTGTTGCACCGTAAAGTGCCACTGACTGGACAACCCCGGTCTACAACTACAACTCATAGAGTAATCTCCACTGCAACTGCAGTTGTAGCGACAACAACAACTTCATAGGTATCAGAAACCGTAAGCAAAGAAGTAGTGGCAATTACTTAATATAAATCCTAAATGTTAACCTTAAGCATCTCTATAGAATTAAGGAATTGTTTATATTATGTAATGATGTGTGCATACTTCCTAACACAGTTTTCTTTATGTGGGGCATATTTTTTCTTTGTTAATAAATTCAGCGCGTGCGCGCCCCTGTGTAACCTCGCGCCTCTAGGCAAGTGCCTACTTTGCCTGAGGGTTAATCCGCCACTGCTCTTATCACAAAGAACGCGAGACCGAAAGCCGACTCCGGAAACCGGAAAATATTGATACTACTGTATCAAGAAGGTACCTATTTAGGTTTTAGATGAATGTACCTACTTGGTTTCACACACACCACCCCTGTCGCAGTGGCTTCACGCCGCTGACAAGGTGGCTTTTAACCCGCATCAAAAATGTCATCATCTTCAAATCTTAGGCATCAGATCGGTTTGTGTTAACACAATATTACATGAACATCTTAGGATTAGGAAGCTTTGTTTTCGTTGGATACCTAGTTTGTTCTCCGAAACGGAAAAAGAAGCCTGTGTGGATTACTGGCGACGAAACATGAATTTATCAATATGATCCGGCAAGCAAGAAGCCTTCCTCGGTATGAGTAATTCCAGATGGCCAGTTGTCAACAAAATGCTAAGACCGCAGAACATTGGCAAAAAAATGCTGGGTAGTTTTTTTTTACTGAGTGGACATCTTGCAACATCAATCCTAGAGAATTGTAAGTCTGTTAACTCAGAATCGCATTGCCAAAGTTTTTAAAGCTGTGTAGGAGAGACGACCAAAGAACGGGCTCCGGGGAATGATGCTGTACCACGACAATACGTCTTCACACTCATCCTTCAGAACAAAGGCGTTTTTTCAAGAATTGGGTATTGAAACCCTACCTCACTCACCTTACAGCCCCGACTTAGCTCCTTGTGACTTCTTTTTATTTATCATCTCAAAAGATAAGATAAAAGACAAGTTTTTTCAAGTGTTTTTGTCCAATCAACCATTTTTGTCCTGTCGAAGGGAGACTGGAATAAGTGTTTCCAAGACTGGTTTAGACAGATGGAAATTTGTATAGAGAGTGATGGAGAGTATTTAGAAAAAAATATAATATAAATTTTAAGTATGTATTATTTACTTTTTGCGTGTCTCAAAATTTATATAGTGACCTACGTACTTTACTTTCACGTTGTTAGATTTAGTTATAATTTCAAGATGTAAGGGTTAACTATTAACGGAAATACCATCATAATACCTACATAAGATCTTTATACACAATTCAACGTCAATCACAAGCAATCCAGTGGTACGAATAAAGACGTAGTTATGATAAGAAATATGCCGAAAACAGTGGTCGTTTGTTCTTGAAATAAAGTGACTAGTGGATAATATTAATAGATAATCAGCTATATCTGAACAGTCCCTACACAATCTAGAATAAACCAGTTTTAAAGACAGTGGTGTCATTTAGTCCACAATAGAATAATGACCAACTGAGGTCAATTATATCTTTGGCTAAGTAAGTATTACAGATATTAAAATGCTAATAGTATTTAGCCTATTAAGTAAAATAGATCCTGCATCTTTAGTTGTCAATCCAAAACAGATCATTATCTGAACGATTTAAAAAAACGAGAGGTTCTCCATTCGAAGGTATTTTTGTTCAAGTTATGCGATATCTCTTTCAATAGCAAAGTATTATGATTTTTTATCTATCTGGAGTTATAAGCTTCACTAAAAAGCATGAAATCTTAAATAATTGTAAATTTGTGGTATTTTATGGCTAATGTTAACAACGACTGCCTTAGTCAAAGTAGTGAACGTTGTTTTCTTTCCAATATTTTTTTATCTTGTAGTACCCATAGCATCCACTGTCTTTAGCCCATCAATACATACTATTATTATAAAGAGGTAAAAGTTGTTGAGTAGGTAGTTGTAGGGGGTAGGTAATCTTTGAAACTAATGAACCGATTCTGGCAATTCTTATACAAATACAACGGCGTAGCTAGGCCGTGGGCGAAGTGGGCCGTCGCCCACGGCCTCGCGCTTGGGGGGACCTCGGGAGACTCCTTAAAATGCGATGCCCCCCAGACTTTACCATAGATGATTAACTAATTTGATCACACGAAGTGTGTTTGTTTCGGGTCATATTAAGTGCGATTGCGAGGCCATCGTAACCACCTTTAAAGACCGCGACCGTTAGCTTGACAAAACATGATAGAGACTCGTTAGGCATTAATAGCTATGAGCAGGGGCGGACCGTGACTTTTTGCTATCCACCACCACCTCGAGACAGTGAAGCCGGCCTTGCTCTTTTTAACTGAGACGGGACCTCTCCATTTTGGGGCTCCCTGTAGTCAGCGACGACCATCCCCGCGTCTATGCATGCCTCTACAGGTCCCATAGCGGTGATACCGAAACTGACCGACTGATGGACCACGTCCAAATGGCTGCAAATTCTGTGCTGCAGCAGATCCCATTCGCAGAGATCGTGATTCTTGGCGACTTTAACGCTTACAACGCCGAATGGCTTGGCTCACGTAAAACCGCTCACGCGAGGAGATCTGTTCATGATTTCGCCCTGACCTATGGCTTGTCACAACTGGTATCAACGCCCCTGCGAGTCCCAGATGTGGAAAGTCATGAGCCTTCACTGTTAGACCTTCAGCAGAAGGGCTATAAAATCATCGTTGGCTCCCTTGGCTCTACAGATCATTGCCTAATACGGAGTAGGGTGTGCTCGTGCTGCTAGTTGCAGGCTGCCGCCGCGTGTGGCACTATAGATCAGCGGACTAGGATGAGATGCACTCTTTCTTTGCGTCCTGCCGAAAGCAGGAATGTTACCAAGCATGGGCTAACGAAAGGTGATGTAAACACCAGCACGCTAAAAAAGGAATACAACTCTGCCTCCAGATCCCTCATAAGAGCCACTGCAAGCCACCTCTTTTGTCGTCTCTTGGTTGCCAGAGGGTGACTTGCTTGCTCCATTTGTTAATGGGGTGGCGTAGCATATGTCCAGCTCATCTCCATTTTTGGACATCCATCCGCGTAAGAATGTCTGTGAGTTTAGTTCTTGTTCTTATGTTAACAACTATAACTTATTAATAAATGTAGGATGGGCGATAGAAAGATGCGGGAGGCGCCGATGACATGTTTGCCTAGGGCGCTCTAGATACTTAATCCGCCTCTGTATGTAGGTATTGTATTAAACAATCTAAGGAGAGGCGCGGATCCTTGTGTCTCTCGACAATCACGATCAATTTTTTTACTCTATTCCTTTTTGAAGTCCCTTGCCACCTGGTGCTTAGAGCGATCACCTCGAGGCCGATAATAACTTACCCTGTATAATTACAATCAGTTATATGCAACACTCTCTCGGCACAAGATCAAATAAATAATAGAGTTATCCATAACATGTATTTAAAAGTATTAGCATTATCTTAAAGTTAAGCCTTGCCTATCAGATAGCGCCGGCTTGAGATGTGCAGAATTACTATAAAATGTTTAATCAACATTATCATCTCTCACACCGCAAGTAAGAGTTTAGGTGTGAAACGGAACCTGCAGAAAAATGGCACAGGTAGGTTTTATAGTTATTTTGTTTACTTAAAAATTAAAAGTTCTCTCTATCACTTGGCCTATAACACTACTGTCATAGGCCAAATGATACGAGCGATGATACAGTCATATTCAAATAATACAGCTACCAATCTGATTACAATATTCTTCAGGCACTTCAAAAATATGTATGTAAATCCAAACTCTCGAGTTAATTTGCTTTAAACAATATTTCTATTAAAAGTGTCAACTGGATCCGAGCAACTTGTAAGGTCAGCGGTTAACATTCTATTATTTTATTTTTTACCTTTTTATTTGTCTTGTTCTGAGTGAACCTCTTAAGTGGAATTCACAAAACTTATCCCTGAACGTTCATTTAATAATAAATAGGCAATGATTATGCCTCAGTAAGTAGTGAGTAGACCTCATTCAAAAAACAGGAGACGGCGATTGAGGTTGAAATGGGAAATCAAGTAGTTGAAGTGCCTGAATTTTTACGTGGTCAGCGAAGTCCCCTTATACTGAGGGTTGAGTCCTCAGTATAAGGGGCATAAGTTTTCAGGTACAATAAACTAAGAAGTAGATAACTGACAGGTAATGGTAACTGACAATCGAATAAATACCTACCTATAATAAATATTAAAAATCGAGCAAAATTAACATAATATATTCCTGCACAAGGTATAGACACAAAATCCTTAGATCTATTTGTGTGCTAAAAAATACCCGTTGGAGTGTCTAAGTATGCATGAAGAATTCTTTTTCTACGATACTTTTTGAAAATTAACTTTAATATCATAAAATTACTTCAATATTTATTAATTACATGCGTTCATTCATGAGGGGCAACAAAAAAAAACCATACAAGAGGTTTGCAACCCCTACTTTTTAGTCGGTTAAAATCTATTCTGGTATTCCACTTACCACCAGAGACACGGATTCCGAACGCTAGAACTAATTGCAAATTTTAATTAAGTATTTTTTTAAATTAAGTTATGGAAACAAGAATTTATTCTATCTTGTACCTATAACTTTTCTTAACATCATCAGCAAGGAGGTGTGGCATTGATTGATCCGTCGCAATTGCTGCGTCCGGAGCCGACATTCAACGATAAGCCTATCGACGCCTTCCGAGACTACACCATTGATGACTCCGATCCCAACAAGGAGAGAGTACGCAGGACTTACTATGACATGCACACAAATGTCACCGTAGACTTGGTTAAGCGTAAGTTGTTTCTGTAACTCTGTCTCTGTATTTCTGTTGGTTATATTTCCTAGCGCGGCCCGAGGTCCCTTCGGCTGCGACTGCAGACTGCAGCTTGTCTCTGACTCGGTCCTTTACGAGTACCTAATGATTTTAAAAAGTACCATTTTAATGATTAACCTCGTAATTAAGGTTTTGTCTTGTATAATATATACATGCATACATACATGTAAAAGCTAGTAGGTAGATAGGTACAATATTCTCTTGAAAACTAAATAACATTTGTTTTGACAAACTGACATTTAGCAAGTTGAGATAAGAGAAACATTTACTATTCACATTAATCCTTAACAATGATTTTAACGACAGCCACTAAAAATAATCTTATCTAATGTTATCCATGTGGTCGTAACGTATTTACTGCAAAGTGACATATTATAATGGAATAATACTTATTTTCTAAATTACGTTTAGGGTTCATTGATGTTTGCGAATAAATTGTAAAACCGATCAAGTTACTAAGTTTTCAAAACACTTAGAAGATAATTTGGGGAGGTCACTTCATTATTATTAATGTAGTCATCAAACTATGCAATAACCTATACTAAAATTAAAAGTTCTTTATTTTTTTTTTAAACCTGGGCTGTAGGTTAAGATTATAATTATAATCCTACTCTAATCTGTATTTCAACACTTATTGTATAATATTCAAAACAAAACTAATTATAAACCAATACCTCTTACGTGTGATATTATCTTTTTTGAGTGAATTTTCATTTATTACACGTAAAATACGTACAATTCCTAATACATACTGACTGAGTCTTTGAATTTTTTTCTGACGGAATATTATTTATTTCCTGGTTTTGTCCTTCCCCAATACAAATCCTGGCTCGACCCTTACCTTAATCATTGCTTTATCAAATAAAAGGATAACAACAACAGTATAACAATTAGAAAACTCTGGAAAAAAGTCCAGTTCATTAAAATTGGTTAAATATCACTATATTTACGGAACCAATATCATCTAAACCGCAACTTAAACATTTAGTAAATCACGTTAGGAATAGCTTTACACGAATAACAATGTTTATCATTAGACTTTTCTTAATGCTCCTCACGGCAAAAACAACAATATTATGTCATAATACTCGTAACTTAAATCTAGCAGATAAAGGTCTATCAGTATCATACCAGTCGTTGAATCATTTCAGGATAGTCATTCGCATAAGAAGTAATATCTCAGTTAAAAAAGATTGGGAAGGAAATATTAAAGGGTATTTTCAGCTAATTTTATTTGTGCAACTAATAACTAAAGGCTAAGTTTTAAGAAACTACGACCGTTGTAACACGTCTTCGGGAAGAAGAACATACACTTTATTTTAAGTACTGTCCGGCCTATGATCGCCTCATTGGCCTGAGAACATTATTGTCTAATTAATAATACATACTGCCTGTGTAACCTGATTGAACCAGAGTTTTTAGTGGTAACACCACATACTCCTGGCTCCTGTGGCCACAAGGAGCCTGAGCAAAAAGAAACCTGACTGAAAGGTCAGTCAACAGTTTGAAGGTTTACATGTACATACCACTGCGTTAATGTCGTGTAATGCAATATTTTTTATTCACAGAAAAGCGCGAAAAATGGCTGAAGTTCAATACCTGCAAAATGACAATCAAGGAAGCTTTAATTAAGCTGAATGAGTTGGTAGACGAGTCCGACCCCGACACCGATCTGCCTAACATCGTACACGCCTTCCAGACCGCCGAGAGGATTAGGGAAGATCATCCCAATGAAGACTGGTTCCATCTGACTGGACTTCTTCATGACCTGGGCAAGGTAATTTGCGGACTTTAAACTAAGGGTTTTAGGATATTCAAGGGTTTTTTTTTTTACGTCTAATCTGAAAGTGTCCACCGCTTCGATTAATGTCTAAAAACAACAGAATTGCCACGAAACTGTCATGTTTCGGCAATTCCTAATCATCGCGATCCAAAAATCCAGGCTAATTCAAAAACAGAGGGTATTTTAGCAGAACAATAGCCGCAAATATGCTCCGAAGGACACAGAAGTCCAAGTGCTCTCTAATCCAAGTTCTTCAAGGATGTTTTCAAGTAACAATCTTTCTTGAAATTAAATCTGGGTCGAAAAGTATTCGTCATGAAAGGTCATGATGTAAGACCTAAAACGATACTCTAATACTTATAAACATGCATCACGTTATGATAGTGAGTTTCAAGAGTACAAAATTATGAAACTTTGGCAAAACAAATAAAAACTCCAGCACAGGTCATTGATGACCGGGTCATCAATTATTAGTTCAGAGTCGTAATAAATGGGTTATCTGTAAAGTCGACTGATTATGAACTGTTATGTATTTGTTTTAATACTGCAATGCGCGGCATGTGATCTCGATGTCTATTTTTTTATATCAGCTCGATGCCTATAAGCGATTTATTGTCACTTAAAGTACCCCTGTTGTCTTAATTTATATCTAAGAATCATTTAAAAATCAATGTACACATTTATGCATATGCATGCACAGATACTCGTATTGTGTTAAAAAAAATCTTACAGGCCAGGTAAGAAAGGGGTATATTTTTATCTACTGATATTTAAAGATATTTTTTTGATTATCTAATATTTATCTCTTGTAGTGCACTATGAGTCACCGTCTTTTTATCGATAATAAAATAATAATGAAAAAACTACGCAGATTGCTACACTATTGGTCAACCCAAAAATCATTATTCTAATCGTCTCAACGTCTTGCCATCTTATACTGAGATGAGGCCTCTGTAAAGCAGTGATATAATGCAGATCTGATAGAATTTCAGCACTTTTTTTAACTACAAGAAAGTATGAATATTTTACATCAATACATTTACTAGATTATTGTAACATGCATTCTGAGTTATTAGTGTAATTCTTCTAACACCAGATCATGGCGTTCTACGACGAACCACAATGGTGCGTGGTAGGAGATACCTTTCCCGTTGGATGCAAGTGGGCTGACTCCATCGTGTACGGACCCGAGAGCTTCAAAGACAACCCTGACACTTACAACCCTAAGTACAAGTAAGGTTCTGCACTAGTGTCTTATACTACGCAGAAGCAAACCTTTTTGGTAAATCTATAATCCGAAAAGATCTTGCGATAATTTGTGCTAAGAAGTTCTGAAACTCTTTTCGAAATTCGTAATCTTGTAACGTTAGTATAAGACATTGTGATCACGATTCCGATATCTTAGCTATTCGACACCTATGTTATTGCAAAGATTGTAAGTTTTGTAATGTATATGGTTGGAATTTTTGTTGTATTATTTTAACTTTGGTTATTTCTTTTGCAGCACCAAGTATGGCATGTACAAACCTCACTGTGGATTGGACAACCTACTAATATCGTGGAGCCACGACGAATACCTGTATCAGTTTCTTAAGCACAACAAATGCACGATCCCTGAGAAGGGACTGTACATGATTAGGTACGAAATTAAATGTATTTCAAATATCTTTACTGAAAAGTTTCAACAATTTTATATCGCTGCGAATGATATACGCCTATTATTATGGATATTCTTATGAAAGGGTCCCAGAGGATTGGTTATGTACCAACTTAAATAGGCCACTGCCGCTTCGTTGTCCGCTTAGAGGAATTTTCCCTGTTAAAGTATCTTAGTTCTAATAACAGAAATACGAGTATTTCTAGAACGCACAAAAACCCAAATTATTTTTTTCTGCTTGCTTATATATCCACTACTTCAGCTTCAAAAAAATGTATAAATAGGACACCATTACCGGGAGATACATTCATTTGAATACGAACTGTCGAAGAGAAAACATCAAAATGGAGAAAAATGAAATAAGAGCTGTCATCAAGTACCTCTGCCTGAAAAAAATGTCTACCAAAGACATACACAGCGACTTAGAGGAAACATTGGGGGAGTCTGCTCCTCCATATTCCACAGTCGCACGCTGGGCAAAGGAATTTAAGCTGGGCAGAACCTCCACTGAAGATGAACATCGCGAGGGACGCCCTTCCACGTCCCTTACTGGAGAAAACGTCAAAAAAGTGGAAGATATCGTGTTGGCCGATCGAAGGGTGACCGTAAGGCATGTAGCTGAGGTCACAGGGATCTCCTATGGCAGCGTTCAAAAAATCATTGTCAACAAAATGCATATGAAAAAGGTCTCTGCGCGTTGGGTACCGAGAATGTTAACCGACGAGCAAAAAAAGAAACGAGTCGACATTTCGAGGGTGAATCTTCAAAAGTTCCAGGCCGATAAAGAATTTTTTTTTGTCGCGTTTTGTGACCATGGACGAGACCTGGATCCACCACTTTGATCCCGAAACCAAACAACAATCAATGACTTGGAAACGAGCTTCCTCACCAACGCCGAAGAAATTCAAAGTGTCAAGTTCAGCGGGAAAGGTTATGGCGTCTGTTTTCTGGGATGCAGAAGGAATTATTATGGTGGAATATTTGGAAAAGGGGGCCACTATAACAGGCTCTTACTACGCAGGCCAAATAAGAAGATTGCGAGAAGCTATTAAGTCAAAAAGACGCGGTAAACTGCGCGCTGGAGTGCTGTTTCACCAAGACAACGCCCCGGCTCACAAAGCCGCAGTTGCGATGGCTGCCATTGAAGAAACGGGGTTCGAACTGCTCGAACACCCTCCCTATTCGCCAGATCTAGCTCCCAGTGACTTCTACCTCTTTCCTCGGCTCAAAGAACACCTCCGGGGCAACAAATTTGAGGACAATAGTGAAGTGATGGCCGCAGTAGAGGCATTTTGGGAGGGTCAAGACAAAGAATTTTTTTCTAAGGGAATCATGCGCTTAGAAAAAAGATACACTAAATGTATTAACTTGCAAGGAGACTATGTTGAAAAATAAAATACTTTTTTTAATCTAATAGTTCTGTTTCATATTGATTATCATTACTTATTGATCACCCCTCGTACACCTAGAAATATGTCATTTTAACTTTTTCTACCTTTTATTTTATAATAACTTATTTCGTGTTCATGTGGTCAAATATATAGCATAGGATATGCTATTTTAGATACATCTGAGTACGATTTTATTATTACTGCAGCGTATTTTGGGATTTTCCCATACAGCGCACTACTTTCTGGATATTAAGAATTTGCTTGATTACTTCTAAACCCAATAAAAAAATACGTTATTTGTTTAATTGTTAACAGATACCATTCGCTATACCCGTGGCACGCAGGCGGTGACTACCGTCACCTCACCAACGAGAAAGACGAGGAAATTCTTAAGTGGGTGCTCGAGTTTAAGTAAGTTTGCACACTACTCTTTCAGGGCCTCACATGAGTAATGAATCTTAGCACTACCAACTTGAATACTTAAAGACCTAGGGCATATCTTATCTCTTTTTAGTAATAATTTTTCTTTGAATATTTATAACGTCCTGTTGGTCTAGTTGGATTCTTAATTACTAAGCCAGAGATCGTGGGTTAAGATCCCATGATCACTTGTGTAATTTCATCTACAATACGTTTGCATTTAGGTACAGACTTTGCCTAGTTTGGGAACACTCAGTCGTGTGTGAGATGGGTGAAGTTGTTGAAGCGAAATTTCGTATGGGACGATATGGCGAGAGGGATTGCACGAGAAAAAAGTTACGTTACTAAAAAGCGTTAATCGCTTTATCTCTCGCTCTGCATTCACTGCCTGCAGAGCGAGAGAGAGAGAGAGAGAGAGAGAGAAAGTGATTTGTCTAATTGCATGACTAAAATTTGTAAATGAAATATTTGTCAAATAGCATAAGAAACTTTGTTCCTATTGGGTGTCCCTACACCACACGGCTTTTCTTAAATTATATTATTGAGCTTTTAGTTAACTTTAAAATTGATTAATTTTATTAATTTTCTCTGCAGCAAATACGACTTGTACACTAAAAGCACGACGGTACCTGACATCGAAGCTCTATGGCCCTACTATGACAAACTCATCGAAAAATACATCCCTGGAGTCTGCGAATTTTAATTCATCATCAACAGCCCTTAATTGTCCACTGCTGGACATAGGCCTCTCCTTAGAAAGGAGGTTTTGGCCTACTATAACACTCTAATTACATGTTTAAAATTGACTAAATTTGAATAAAACCTACTACAAGATATTCATACCCCAGGTACTTATTTTATTGTACAATATAATTTTATAACAATATAATTTTATAACAATATAATTTTATGTCGTTTCATTAAAATAAACTAATATATAGACAACAAATCCCAACGTATGTTAGCGGGATACATTTACAATCAATGATATGATATATAAACACAGGTATAGACGAGTAGGAGAGATTATAATGACTAATGAATGAAATGTTTTTTTTTTAATCTAAACTTTAGAATGATTGTGCTATTGGCCTAAAACAGTTACCTACTCTGGAATTCCGAATTCGGCTTTCGAAAGGAACAGGTCTACCGATGGCGCGTTCCATGAGCTTACAAACCATATAGTTTCTAATATGGACGACAAGAAAAAAGTACTAGCCAGGATTTTTGATTTGCCCCAGGCATTTGACACGGTTTTTGTTCCACTGTTCAATAAACTGGAACGGATGGGTGTTCGTGGCATTCAAGTGCAGTTTTTCGCAAGTCACCTCATAGATCGCTTACAGTGTATTCAAATTGATAGTATACGTAGTCATGATCTCCCTATAGAGCTTCTTAATTTTTATTAATGACCTTGGCCAATTAGATATAATACTAATTAGAGATTTATACCAAAATATATTTTGTTTTTCGTCTTATTCTCAAGTCTCAATTACTAACCAAATACGATCTTCTAATTAATGCAGCAAAACGTCGAAAACATAAAATCTCTCAAACTAACACAATCCATAAATCCACTTTATCTCATAGGTCTATTGTTTTTGAGCCGATACCTATTAATAAAAATAATGCTATCCTTTTTATATACTCCTATCTATACAAATAAATAAAATTGGAGTGTCTGTTTGTAATATTAAAATAACCGCTTTTTATGTTTACACGGTACATATGCCAAAATATCATTCTTTACAATTTTTGTCTGTCTGTCTGTCTGTCTGTTTGTTCCGGGTAATCTCTGGAACGGCTAGACGGATTTCGACAGGACTTTCACTAGCAGATAGCTGATGACATAAGGAGTAACTTAGGCTACTTTTTTTAGACCAGCTTCGCCCCGCAGCGTTGCCGAACCGAAAAAAACCGACTTCAAAAAACACTATTCCAACCGATATAGGTGGTATCCGAGGGGATTTCCGCACGGAAAAAAAAAAGAAAAGTGGAAAGTCTCGAGAACCTTTCATGTTCTAAAGAATTCGTCGTGGATATGCAAAGACTTCTTTACAGACATCTTTACAGAGATGTTCAGGTGCATTTTGAAACTACTTTAAACATACGACATTTAGTCCAAATAGCTGAAAATTCTATTCCTAAACAGGATGCTGTTACTTTAGAATCATCCTCTGAACATTATGTCACTTTGAAGGACAACAAGACAATTACGCGGATCATTCAATCAAGGTTTAACGATTACTTACGATTTAATTTATTTCGAGGTAAGTAATGCGCTGGGATAGCGGCTGTTGCTTGTGCAGCATTTACTGTATTAGATCCGAACAAGTGGTCCAAAAGCGATATCTTCATCCCATGGGTGCCGTAAGAGTCGACTGAGGGAGCAAACTACGCAGGACAACAGCACTGCAAAGAGAAGGAAAACTTGAAACAAACCCTATACCAACGCGTCTGGCCAGCGTGGTATAGTGGGCCAAAACCACCTTTCTAAGGAGAGGCCTATGTCCAGTAGTGGACTGGTAAAGGATGACGACAACTACTTGAACATAACGAGGTTCCTGTAGGTGACTCAAATATGACTCAAATAGCCTACAAAAGATTCAGCCGAGTATCGTTAACTTTGTCATAGATCCCATGATTAGAATCTAACCAAACTCTCATCAAAGTACGCTTAAACTACATACATTCCAATAAAAAAAGAATACCCGAAATCGGTTGGCGTGATATTGAGTTATTCGTCTGTTTGTCGCGAACATACTGAATGCAAATTTAAGACATATGGTTTTCTCAATTTGGTTCAGTTCTGATAATTGCCATTATCAGAACTGAACCAAATTGAAATGGGACCACAGGGAAGCACCGGCTTTCAAATAAAAAAAGAATCATCAAAATCGGTTCACCTAGTCAAAAGTTCTGAGGTAACAAACATAAAAAAAAAACAATACAGTCGAATTAAGAACCTCCTCCTTTTTTTAAAGTCGGTTAAAAAAAGAATTATTCCGATTGCCGTTTTGCGCTATCGTGATGTGTCGAAAAAGAAGCCAGGTGTGTAGTGTAGCAAGAAAAGGGATTTCTTTTCACCAATAATTCCAAAAGCCATAAAATACAAGTCAGTACAAGTATTAAGTAGTTTGTAGACAAAAACAACACAAACCCAAACAGATACAAATTTATACATTACTTACAATACATGGGTACAATCTAGTAGTACGTGAGCGATCACGCTATGTATTGCGCTCTTTGCGAGAGTCGCGTGCGCTGAGCCAAAGCTAGAATCCTGCGAAATCGACGCGTTTTTGTAAATTTACTGTAATTATATCGATGTCAAAAATCAATCTTTTTGTCGCCGTAACATGTATGAAAATGCGTGGTATTAAGTTGTAAACAATGTCGATATTAAGTATGTATACAAAATAATTATCAGTAATATAATAATTAAAATATCTTTGTTTTTGTTAATTATTGTTATCAATTTAGTTTCTGTGTGGAGTTTTGTTTGAAATTTTGTTTGCTGTTAGCCATTTATAACGAAAACATATATTTTAAATTATTTTTAAAGTTTCTGACTGATCCAATTTTTTAAAACTAAAGCTATTATAATAATATTTAAAAAAAAAAACGAATTTAAAAGATACCAAGCGCATGTTACTTAATTAATACATACCATTTCAGGAACATTCATACAACAGTTAAATTATTGTCCAGTATTAAAATACTCTTGTATTTTTTTCTTGTGTCATATATGTTATTTACTCACTAGTTTTAATCCATGTTTTGTAGATATCATTATAATATATATTTAGGAGTCCTAATTATTACCCTTCCCCTCCGGTAATTAAGCGAAAAATTGGAAAACTTAAAGTAACAAATTTACAGTAATTACATCGCAGTCAAAAATCGATCTTTCAGTCGCCGTAACATGTGTGAAAAATTAATTGCTTTTTTGAGTGTGTGAGCGTCCGTCAAGACACTGCATTTGCATTGTGTGAGAATCAATAGCAAAATCGGGATCTAAGTGTGTGTGATAATTTGTAGGCGTAATGCGCGTACGTATTGGCTCTTTTTTGTAGTGGAATTGATGAGTGGGAGACAAATGGCGACACGCGTTCTAGTACAAATCAATTTCGACCAACAATAGCAACATCAGGAACTATTTCCTTTCTAATCTCCTTTAACTGTTCTGTGGCACGGACTATGACTATGCTACCCCAGACATGCTAATGCCGATCTTGTATGCGGGCACGGGGAAGGTAAAAGAAAACCTGCATAAAAACAGATGAGACTGCGGGAAATAGAAATATAAATTGGCCCATATTGTATAGATTCAAGTTTAAAAAAATATCACCAACTATAGTCCAAATTCATTACTTAATTTACATCATTACCTAATTAGTTATCATTACTTTCTCTTCATTACTTAAGTTTCATCACGTAGGAGTGGTAATTTTTCTTCAAGTTGAAATGTTTAAACTAAAGATATACCCTCTAAATGAAAAACAATAATTCCAATTCACTTCATTACTGCTGGAGTTTTTAAGTAATAAACATTAAAAAAAAACACTTATTGACAACTTCCCTCTTTTTCTAAAGTCGGTTTAAACAATGAATTTATCATTGTGTATATAACCTTTCCCTATTATTTTTATGGTTATTACGTTAAACCGATAGCCTGACCCTTGACCGTATCGTTATCAATTAGCATTTAAAATCAACGCGAAGTTTGCTAAACGTAAGAACGCACTTCGCTTGATCACCACTCGCAGTCATCATAGCGCCATCTCAACATGAAAACAAAGCCAGTGAGTATCATATATGTATTTTATAACTAAACCAGCAATGGCAAAATATCATAATTAGATTTCAATTATTGCGATAAGTTAGTCGATTTTTACGGCTAAATTATGACTATTCAAAGGTAATTAATAACATTGAACTCAGGTCTACGGGATTTTTATAAAAATGTTCCATTTTTTAATCCTTTAGTACAGGCAGTTATTGGACAGTAGGTATTGACTTCTTAATACGTTAAAATCGACTAAGGATATCGATATTTATATAAGCTATAAGAAATAGTTTCACCTGTGTAGAAGCTCACTTAAACTAACATTTAGGAATATTGTACAATTCTAACAGTACAAATGCATAGTGGTTAAAATTCATTTTTTTTTTAAGTCGGTTTCAAAGGTAAAAATAAGTTTTTGATCCTTATGTAAAAATGATTAAAGAAATTATTGCCTGTACACTTTTCCCATTTAAAAAGAAGCTCATTGATACCTTTGCTACAGAAAAGCGGATTCTGGTCTGAGAAAGTCAAAGTCTGGATTTAAGTTTTGTGAAGAGTGATGATACATCGTAACTACTATAGTTTGAAAACAGTCTGTTTTTTTTTGTTAGTGGCTAACCAGCTTGTTTGTTATCATATTTAATTCTAAAAGGACACTTTGGCAACATTGTGTCGTGTTTTCTTCATACTTCCACTAGTTTTGAGTCAACTTGCGTTTTGGGAGACGGTTTTGATACGTACTTGGCTATAAACAGGGTCAGCGAATTTTCGAACACTGATTATGAACCGCTGACGAACAGTCAAAGGGTGTCAGATCCGGTCGATAATAACTAGCTCCGTAAAAAACTAAAACCTTAATAATAAGTAAAAATTTCGCGAGAAAAATCTGGTAACTTGTCTTTATCACACACATTTAATCCGTGCCATAGATCTGCAGATTTTTTCTGTTATCAGAAATTAGGAATAAACGATGAAAGAAAAAGTCAACATTGTGACAATTTAAGTATTTTTTTAAAGATTTCATAAGTATGCAAGTATAGATAAAAAGTTAAACAAAACTAAGTATTAGGTCCGATGCAAAAGAATTCACACGTGTATCCCTGCCAATCGTGTATCGTACTTTTAAAGTAGATAGATCGCTGCGAATATACCTACTTAAATGAGATTTTAGGTAGGTAGAGGGTTCTTAGCTAAGAATAGAGTTGTATGATAAAATATTAAGGTGTTTCATGTTTTGAGTAACCAGTCTTATTAAAATAGTTCGCAGGGCTTTTTAAAGTTAATTTTATATTACGTTTGATATAATAAGGGTAAGTAAAAGTATTTGAAATGACTTTTAATTTATCAATAAAAGTGATGACGTCACAACGTCGTTATAACAATACACACAATTGATTTGATAATAAAGGCACGGACACGGTGTCCAGTGTCACGGACGATCGGTTGATCATTTGCGAGTTGGTTAAATAAGCATATGTATGTCAATAAGTCTAATATTCTGAGATGTATACACGATCGGAATAATATTAAGCAGCCAAATCATTTCGCCACATAAATCAAGCTGTATTTTATGAACTGTAGGTATGCGCTAAATTTTCAAATGAGGCAAATATTTATAAAACACGATTTATTATTTATACAAAAAAAAAAAAAAAAATTTGGTAGCATCTGCTTGTATAAGGGCTGTTCGTATAGATATTATTTTAGAAAAGTTTTTAAAAACTATATGACAGTTTTATCTTGTGTCTGTTTATTGGTTTTTCTGTTTATATTCTGTAAGTAAATATTTCTAAGAATAAAACTTAAGTTAGACCAATTAATCGCCCCTGAAACCCCCTGAATACAGTATTTCATGAAAATCTTTTTAGCCGTTTCCGATATTTAGATTATATATTATATATATATATATAAATTAAATAGTTAAATAGTTATATTTCTATTTAGTTTTTTATTTGATTTTCATTCTTTCTTTAGTTATATTTAAATAGTTGTTTTTAAAGAAAATAAATAAATAAATAAATAAATAAATAAATATATATATATATATATATATATATATATATATATATACATATACAAGAATTGCTTATTTAAATTTATTAGATTGGTGGTAAATTTTCTATAAATTAAACCTAGCTAGATCGAATAATGGCCTCCGAAAGCTCTGCATAGTAAATTTCATGAAAATCGTTGGAGCAGTTTGAGATTCAGATTATATATGTATATACAAGAATTGCTAGTTTAAAGGTAAGTCGTAAATAAATGAATCAATTATTTTTTTTCGCTATGTTTCAGAACCGTTCAATTCATCAGCTCTTTTTTAGTTGTAAAGGTTATATTTAAGTATTTAAACATTTTAAGTGACACTGATCAGCCCAGTATTGTATTTTACGTAAATTACGACGCTGCAAATATTGTTGTGGGTAGAGAACCTAATCATGATACTGTTACAATTCTCATTAGGTACGTATTACCTACTAATTAGTATAATTACTAATGTATTACTAATTACTAATAAGTGTTATTTTATACAAAGTAGAAAGAAATCACTCGAGGAGCTGTTGTGACACATATAATTGCAGTTATCGATTTAAAATAAAAAATAATCACATATTCGTAAGCAGAGTGAATTAGTAGTTGAGTGAGAGTGCACCAGAAAGTGCGTTAAGAATTAAGTAAAGTATAACAACAGTGTGTACTTAGTGTAAACAAGACTACAGTGCGGAAATTAATCATTACACTTCTCGGGCGCTCAGACCAATTTAGCAGCCCAGAATAGAATACACGTGCTGCAAAGCATATATACAGCTCGATAAAGTAGCTAGAAGTAAACAACGCTCTATTTACATCATGAAATTTCTCCAGGACTCACCGGTGTCCATATTGGATCCCTCCCTCCTGCTGCGTCCGGAGAAGATATACGATGGCAAACCAGTGGAGGCGTTCCGAGATTACAGTGTCGATGAAAACGACTCAATCAAGGAAAGGGTACGGAGGACTTACTATGAGATGCACAGTAAGATGAACGTAGACTTTGTTAAAGGTAATAATTTTATTTTATTTTACAACAATATTGATGTTGAGTTGACTGTTTAAACGTTGGTATACACATAGCAGATCTGCTGTATTCTGCGGTTCCAATGTTAAACTACACAATTTTCTGACCTTATTATAATTAGATTTAGGGTTGGCGCAATGTGTAACATAGCAAAAAGTTTTGTCTGATTATTTATATGGCCAGCCACCTGCCACGCGCTAATCCTACTTGGGAATCTTATCGTTTACTTCTGTCCTACTCTTCTCTTTAGAAATGTGTCTGTGAGGACAAAGGTAAATTAGGGTAACTAAAAAAGGAAAGGAGCTTCGGTAAGGAAGAACACGAGTTTTGGATGAGAAACAGGACAGAGACTGCGGTAGCTTTAACATGCCTAAGCCGTATAGCCAGATTTCTATTAGGTCAGGAACACGAATATCGATGACATTATTATCCCAAAAGTTTAAACAAGAGTTCTTTAAATAGTATATTAAAAGGTGTCATATGGTGGGTGGCAGTGGGTACACGCGATCTATGTATATCTATATACGTATGATCTATCCTTATTTTTAATAAAAATTAGCTGTACCATACATTGTGGTTGCATTCATGAGAAAATAGGAACATAACTGACGCGTAATTTAGATTAAAACAATAGTTGAAACGGGTATATATCGTGTCGGTGCAGAACTTTTTGAGTTTTTGAAGCATACACAAACTAATTTAACATTTTTATAAATATAGAATGTGATGATTATGTAGTCAAGACCAAAGCATATTTAATATTTTTGTTTAATAACTCCTATGCAATTTCAGGACGTATGGATGACTGGTTAAAGTTTGATCACTTTAAAATGAACGTGAAGGACGCTCTGATCAAGCTTAACGAGTTGGTAGACGAGTCGGACCCCGACACAGATCTGCCCAACATTGTGCACGCCTTCCAGACCGCCGAGAGGATCAGGGAAGATCATCCCGATGAAGATTGGTTCCAACTAATAGGACTTATTCATGACCTTGGAAAGGTAAGGTTCGGTTGTGTACGTTTGGCTTTCTTTAACCATGAAAACGACTCGATAGTTAACAATAAGAGATAGGGCTACTGAAGTCTGCTTTCGGCAAAACACGATGCAGTATTAATCAAATTGCTAAATTGCATGATTATAAAACAGTGGTGGTATACAGGGACAGTTGAAAGGTGATGATTACCATTTACCGAAGTGAGATATTAAAAAAAAGAGTTTTTTTTTCAGAGAAAAAAATCCTAGATTATTCATTGCCCATACATAACGTTTGAAAATATGTAGTGTATAATTTATTTTTAAGTAAGACAGTTGTGGAAAAACCAAGCAACATGCCTACTCTTATAAGCTTCTGTTGTGGTTAGGTTATGGCGTTCTACGGTGAGCCACAGTGGTGCGTGGTTGGAGACACATTCCCGGTGGGCTGCAAGTGGGGCAAAAGCATTGTTTACGGAGATGACAGCTTTAAAGATAACCCAGATACTTACAACCCTAAGTACAAGTAAGCATCTTTATAAGTGCTTTGAACGTTAATTGCCTAAGAGAAGGGAAAGTTTTATTTGTATTCCATTTAAATACCAATCATTACAAATATGTATTATCGCTGTACAATTCGCAAGCCAATTCTATAATCTATTTCCGTATTGCACAATTTGTCTCGTAAATCCTAGAACTTGCAATTAAAGTTGCAACACTCTGACATGTCTAGTAGTGCATTAGGTAGGTAGAAACAATCTGCAGAGAAATCTGCAAAACGATTCTAAAGTTTTTAATAGTACGTAAACAAAGATTTCAATAAACCAATGACTAAGTTGTCAACCCTCTTTTAAGTAGTAGTTCTGTAGGTACTAATTTTAAAACCTTGTCTTGTGTAGTAACACTTCTATGAATCAGTGACAATCAGGCGCCATAAAAGCTTTAACGTTAAGGACATGTGCTTACCCTCTCCTCACGATTATAATTATACATCATCATTGTCATGTATCTGACTGTGACTGCATTAATCCATCAACTGAGTAGATTTCATTCCCAATCCAAGACATTAAAAAATACCTACTATTTATATATAATTTCGGTATTATGACAATAGTGTTTTGACAATGATTTACGTAATTAATTAAATGTGATAACATTAACATTACACAATACTTTAAACGATAACATATTTTTCATTAATTAAAATATTATCGTCATAAGTTCAGCTTGTATCAGAGAAAAAGACAAGTGTTTGTTTTTGAGACTATTTGGGGTCGAGGTCGTCTCGATAGTCATATTTGGCATAACGAGATTGCAAAATGAATGATTAATGCTTTTTGATGCTCGTTGGATAACCATAATATGGTAGAAAAACATTGCTATTAAACTTGCCTTAAATGTCAACCCATGTCTGTTTTTACCATACTGACTATGATGTAGAGGAATATTATATGATGCAAGCGGTGCATAAGGAGCTAAAAAGCTTTTCATACTGAGTGCACTTGGTATAATAAATATATAGATATTATTTTCTAAGTTTCTTTAATGTAACTGCTTCGTGGTAGGAAATCAGCCATAATTCAATGAATTTAAAAGATTTTATTTATTTTATTAACCTACTCGTAGATTTAATTTCAAACACGATACAATACGGGACGCTAAACTCAAAATCACTTATATCATAAGCTGTCTTAACCAAAAAGAAACCGAACAATTTCTAAAAATTTCAACATAAGAATGAAAACTGACACACCGACAAATACATAGGTATATTCAGAAATGTACACACACACGCAAGTACGCACGCAAACCTGCACACACACTTGCGCACACACACACATAGCTCCAACTACATATAACTTAGTCAATTAAATAAACATAGATTTTAGTAAACTGTGATCTCTTTCGATTATTCTATATTAGATTTATTCTAATATTAATATTCTTATATTATTACTACTATCCAAATGTACAATCGTTTGTACAATTATATTGATGTGTGTGTGTGTGTGTGTGTGTGTGGCTGTAATTGTTAAACAAATTATGTAAATCTGGACTTCAGATAAGTTTATTATTATTATTCTCTTTATTACATTTAGATACGTATTGAATGTATTACAAAAGAAAAAAACACATTTAAAAATATTAAAAATAGTATGCCACCGACAGCGGGTACAAGGACCAACACCTCCTCAGTACACGGTCAGTGTCAAGGAGAACTGCCTTATGCATCTGACCCTTGATCCAGCCATCTAACGTAAGCCTGTTAAGGTCTTGTTTGAGGCTCTTGGCTATCAATCCGTGAGCAGTTCCGACTATAGGAACAATGATCGCCGAATCCACATTCCACATATGACAATATTATTATTACTTTTTAATGTTTTAGCACGGAATTCGGCATGTACAAACCCAACTGTGGGCTTGAAAATCTACTGATGTCTTGGGGACACGATGAGTACTTATACAGAGTGCTTGTACACAACAATTCTAAGTTCCCTAAAAAAGGCCTCTACATGATCAGGTAAGAATCAAATATAACATTTTGCTATAACGGACGAACGCACGTACCGAACAAGCAATATTAAACACAACAAATTGTGTTCAAGATGGCATGATCCCCAGAGCATCGGACTTTGAAGAAATGTACTAAATTATATGCTTCCATGTGCTGACGGATTAAGACTCCAGTTCATCCCGTAGGTGTCGTAAGGGTCGACTAAGGGAGCAAGCTACGCAGATAACAGCACTGTAAAGAGAAGGAAAACCCTATACCAACCCGTCTGGCCACCGTGGCATAGTAGGCCAAAACCTCCTTTCTAAGGAGAGGCCTATGTCCACTAGTGGACTGGTAAAGGATGACGACAACTACTTGACCATAACGAGGTTACTGTAGATGACTCAAATATGACACAAATAGCCTACAAAAGATTCAGCCGAGTATCGTTAACTTTGTCATAGATCCCATGATTAGAATCTAACCAAACTCTCATCAAAGTACGCTTAAACTACATCCATTCCAATAAAAAAAGAATAATCGAAATCGGTTCTAAGGAGAGCCATATGACCAACAGTGGACTACTAAAGGCTGTTGATGATGATGATTGATGATATAAATTTATATTATTGAACTCGCATTTATCTATCTATACAAAAAAACGTGTACCGTACTAATAAAAACAAAAATATCAAATTTTGCATTTTGTGTCTTTGCAAACTTTAATGCATCTGATTTTTGTAAGATATTTTCTTACGCACAGAACTGAAGATCTGATATCTTGATGAACGTAGTCGTAATAAATAAGAACTGTATATTTTCTGTGTGTCTCCTTTAATATGTCAAGTTTATAAATCCATCCGTTGTACTTACAGATATCACTCATTCTACCCGTGGCATGCGGGTGGTGATTACAAACACCTGCTCAAAGATGGAGACGATGAGATCCTTAAGCACGTACTTGAATTTAAGTAAGTAGATCAGAAATACCTTTAGTCATTTTATATAAAAAAATGAGATTTTAAATCTCTGATGGTATTAAAAATAGGGTATTTTATACTACAATATAACATCTTATTCTCGGAAATTCTTCAAAGAAAAATAATTTTCGAATAGAAAAAAGATCTTATTATTATATTTAAATACTATTTATTAAACATTATTTCGATAGTTGTGTTATGCTTATTAAAACTTTATTTATTTGTTATATTATATTTATTTGTTATGAACAAGATAATCTTGTAACAGAAATCGCATTACATAACTAATACGGTATTTTTTTTATACAGCAAGTACGACTTGTACACGAAGAGCGCTGGTATCCCCGACATCGAAACTCTATGGCCTTACTATGAGAAACTCATAGACAAATATATCCCTGGAGTGTTAGAGTGGTAGGCAGAAAAATCATGAAGAGTGTTAAAATGGTTGTATGAAATAAAATTTCCATTGATACCGCTGGATAGTGGATAGCGTTTAATCCAATATTTTGATTTTTAGAGCTTAAATATTTTAGATAAAACAACTATATCATAATATGTTGTCGAATATAATATCGTACTAGACGTGGAAATTATTGCTACTTTTACTTATATTCGTTTGATGAAATGATTGGTTTTAGTCACAACGATTTTACATGTGGATGTGATTTCGTCATAGACAAAGATTTTTATTTTTATCAAAGTTAACGACCTTGTGATTTTATTCCATCCCTAGTAGAGACGGATTATCTTCACTTTTTTAAATCTTAGTTCTGATAAATCTATTTATGTAAAACCGCGATTAAAACTACTGAGAACCAGAATCTAAAAGCTTTACGTACCTACGTACTTCTAAACATAGACTTTGGAAACCAATATGATAATGTAAGGATCTTCATATAATCCCAGTAAAGTCATCACTTTCAGTAACCTTCTAAAGGTGGTAGTTATTGAAACATACTATTAAATTATAGTTTTAGAGAAATACATATTTCGTGTAGGTATATAAAAGTGTAAGACTAATTATATTTAACAAATATGCTAATTTTATTATGTTTTTAAATATGTAAATATAAAAAGATGTTACTGTTTTATTGCCATTTTTATTTATTGCAATTTCTAAAATATATAATTCCCAACAAACAAAGAAACAGTGGCATTCCCGGACAGACAACAGAACATTCAACAGAAGTGAAAACTTGAAAATTTAAAAAAAAATTGATTATGACGTGAAAAAAACATATTTTTTTCGAATCGAAAAGAATGGTTCCAAAAGGACAATGGCAGGTCCATACATAATTTTATTTGAAGTGAAATGACAGCGTTTAAATATCAAAAATGCCTATAACCCTTGAGAATTTATTCTTGAACATTCTCATAAAAAAATTACTAGCGAAAGAAGTCTAGGAAAAAAGATATTGGATTTTGGATGTTTCGAGGTTAAGTACTAAAATATTGTAAATGTTTTGTTTGAAACTAGGTGGCGTTGTGTGTCATATATTCGAAAATATTTTTCATCATTATTATTACTTATAAGCAACCCTATTTTGCTGTAGAAAGTGTTAGCCGTCTCTCTAAATGGGTGAAGGAAGGACGGGTATTTGATTGGCATGTATTGGTAAACAATAGAAAAAAATCTTCGCTTACATAGCAGGTGTAATACTAGCCATAAATACATAAATTATTAATAATCATTTGAATAAATGTACTTCAATACACATTTACACAAGGCGGGAGCATTTATTTAATTATTTAGTTATTCAACAGTCAGTAGTTGTGACATTATTTACTAAAATCTAAAGCATGCATCCATTATATTGAGATTAATGCACAACATTTTAAGGCATCACATCATGCATAATGGAGTAACACTATATAAAATTAAAATAATAATATGAGAATTTAGTACTAAACAAAAGTAAAACAACCAAATAAACTACAATTGCCTTGTGAGAAATGGTATGTAAGTCATGCGTGTAAGTTTCAAACGACAAGACTATAGTCCGTCAACGTCGTGCGCGACCGTCCTGCGGGGTGACAGACGGTGGCGGGGACGAGGTACTCACGATGTCAGCGGGTAGCGGTTGGTGTAGCGGGGAAGGGAATCGTGTGTAGCCGTGTGCTAGAATGACGCGCTACCTCGCCCCCGCCACTGTCTGTCACCCCGCGGGACGGTCGCGCACGAAATTGCCGGGTTATAGTAAGTGCGACGACGGCGTATCGACATTTTAAAAATATCGATGCATGTCTATTTATATGCCGTTATCAACCTACAATGTCTTTTTCTCATCACACTAAGCAGTATATTGTTTTAGTATTTTTCTGTAGGAAAATAACGTAACTATATTCTATTTATTTTGGTGTAGTAAAAATCTTTTAAAAAGAGTCAAAAATATTCTAAATTATTTCTAATTGGGTTGATTTAGTCACTACAGTACTAGTTACGGGAGCGTATGAGTAAACCCATGGGCAGAAGCAAATTCATAATCATAATAGGTGAACCTTCGATAGATATTTAAGCCAAAGTTATAACAATCGCTCATCGATAAAACGTTCCATAATATAATAATGTCATCACGCATCCCTAGTCAGTTCGTGATGGCGATTCTGACATTACGTACTTAGGTCAAATAAAATCTTTAAAAATATCCAATTTCTTATTAGACTTATACAACACATGGCGGTATAATGATAAATCATAGAAAAAATATTTAGTAAGTTTACTGTTAGTCATTTTTTTAAACGCTTCAGTTTTAGGTAAATATGTTTCTGCCATTGTTCTTTGCCGACAGAAAGTGCCAATGATTTTCGACTCAGAATCATGGTCCGAATACACTATTTCAGTATTCGGTACGACAGTACCGGTATACAAGGGACACACCTTGTATATAGTTATATTATATATGTATTTCAACCCAAACTCAACTCTAAATTACATAACTCTAAATTACATAACTAAATTATAGATACTTATAGACAGAGGTGTCGGTAACGGTAACATACTGTTACCGTTACCGACACTAGTTAGGCTAGTTGGTTTGGTTTGGTTCCTATCTCAAAAAGTACACTCTTTTATTTTTGTTCAAAAATGCCCAACGCGCTTAAAGAAGTTTTCGCTTCAAAAATGTACATATCATGTTGAAACTTGCTTGTGGATGGGAATGTTGCTAATTTGTGCATTTGATTAGAAGAAGGTAAGTGGACTATAGACAATGAAGCAACACACATCAATCATGTAAGGCCATCTTGAGACATGGAACATTTCATGTGATGTAATTTTAAAAGTCAAAATTGAAGTATTGCATGTTCTGCAATATCATGTTAAAAAAAAAAAATTAAGCACTTGTCATAGACAAGACTAGCTTCAGAAAAAAGACTGTGTATAATGCTGTATGTACAGGATCTCATTAATTCTAGCAAACTTCATCCGGGTATAAGTCAGCATTAGCTGATCACTAAATATAAGAAGCTAACTTCCACACGTGAAAATGTTGGGTCGGAGACTAGCCAGGCATTATTACCTAGGTTAACAAAAAATAAAAAGCAGAATTATAATAAATCAGGAACTTTATTTAAAAGCTATATTTACAAAAATACAATTATCTCAAAATATGTAATAATAATTAAACTACTAAGCATCAACAACCAAGTTGGAAATGTAACACAACCTGTGTGCTCATTAAATTATATCTAAAGTACTTCATACATCGCATACTCTAAACACAAACAGGTTATAACTAGAAGACATTAAAATTCACAAATACAAATCATATCACAAACAATTTTTAAATACACTGAGAAAAAAAAACATGTTCCATTTTCTTAATTTCTTGTTATAAGTATAGTCTATCCATGCGGAAATTTCATACTGAGAATGCGTATATTAATAATAAACAAATTAGTCTTGCAACAAATATTTTACGAATATAAATAAAAAAATGGTCTGTTTCGTAAAACGTACATAAGGTAATATGCCGGGAATTAAAAAAAATAACCAGGACATTACTTATATCACCATTTCATCTCTAGATTGTTCTTAATACTGAATTCGCAAAGCTAATATTGTTATCTTAATAGCCAGATTTTGTCGTAAAATAAATACATGTGTTACCGGTGTTAACGGTTATCTGTTGTCATAAGTTGGAAAAACAGTTTTGCAGTATACATATTAATATAGGTACATGATATAGCTGGATTAGTCTCATACTTATATTTTTGGTATTACATATTTGTTATATAACGATTACTCATTAGCGGTACATAAACATGATATATTCCTATCGCTACAATTATAACACGTCTCAATTCCTTAAATGCACTATTACTCTACGCAGGCGGACCTCACACATAATTATATTGGTCGAAGGCTTGCTAGCTGTGTTCATATTATATTTGATCAAGTTAAAGGCTAGTATTCTAGGCGTGAACTGTGAACAATGAATGTAAGGTAAACATTATTACTTTTATTCTAATTTTAATTGAATGTTATAAGGATATCAAAAATTGAGAGAACTACTAATTTTATTATCACATCCTAGTGAAATTATTACTAGTTAAACTATGTTTCATATATTAATGCTCGTGAACTAGTGCTTCGGTTTATATTATTAAGAAGTAACATTTTGTTATTGGCAATATTATATAAGTTTACATTAAGGATGATTAAAAAAACTAATATATTGCATTCAGCAGTTGATTTAGGAGTGTTATCTCTACACGCTCACATTGACATTGCAAATAAAAATTACATACATATTCATTTTTTAAACAATTCTCATTTAAATGTCACCTGCGTAAGATACATGCGAAAACTTTTCGAATCGCCGCTTGAGTATAAAGTTGCCACTTAAAAGGCATAATTTCTACAAAATTGATTTAATATTTCTGGTCGACGATGTTACTCATAAGCCTACCATGCTGTTATCCACCTACCAATCTAACATATCAATCAGTCTTTGTTTTGGAAAGACGGCTCATTCCCATAAGACTAACACAAGGCAATTTTATCACTCATTTCTGGTGCCCGGTAATTTTTAGAGCTTATTTTCAACTACACAACTATTGATCTTTCCTCAGATCTTTTAACCTTACAAACAGTTCGCTGGCGAGATATAGCTACCACGTCACCGCAGTTTAATGCACTTACGATAAAAAATTCAGGCACCAGGTAATCGATGTATTAAAAAAGTCAAACGTTTTAATTAACATTATTGTTCCCGAAACTACCATACAACTTGCCAACTTACAAATATTAAGTCATTTTAGGAATGTAGTTACAACCTTTTTGCTGCTCATTGTACAAATATACAGCTAATTGCATTGTTCTTGTACAACATTCATATATTTAATATCATATTTTTAAAGTTTAATTTATACTGGATAAATGTGTAAAAAAGGTTTTTAATTTGAAAAGGTTTACCAACTGCTTTAACCTCGTACACAGCCTTGTACAATCATCCATACGTATATTCGAATGGTTTAAATAAATTACTTGATTTGTTATATTTATGTGGATTATGAGACTCAAAAATGTTATTCTTTAATTTTTTTGCTTCTTTAATCTAGCAAGTTGATAAAACAGTATCTAACTAAAGGTTAGAAAATTGCCTATTTTTTATTTACTAATACATACATACAAGGTTTTTTAAAAGCAACATTTAAATATCATTCCATAAAAAATATAGTTTTTAAACATATAATTCCATTAAACAAATGTTTATATATTTTTTAGACTTCAGCGATGACAAAGCTGTAAAAGTAGTAAGCTTTTGCTTCTTGTGTAATTATAATATATTTAGGGTATATATGCCACATAGTAGCGTAAGCCGTACGTTTAAATAGTTCTCTTATTACTTGGTAATACAGTTGTTATTTGAGCACTAGGTTTCAAAATGTTTGTAAATGCTGGTAACGTACGCCATTACTTGCTGCCAATCCGGCCGCTCCTGGTGGATCATGTCTTGAATATTCTACGACACAAAATATTCAAATTATAAAAATATAAACGTTTTCGTTTTCACAAGTGAAATCTTAAAAAAAAAGAGAATAAGAAAATGGTAATGGCGAATGAGAGTTTGATAGAAGAATGAGCCAATAACCAGCGAGGACAGGGCGTGCATTGCTCCTACATATTTTTACAGGTGATGTAATAAAGCTAAAAGGTTTTGTACACGGTTGTTAATGCGCCAAGTGACTCCTTGAAAACCGAGATCTACGAGCGTTCTTGTATTTTATTATTACATTTATTCTTACTACAAGCTTTTTGATTACGCATATTAAAATTTATTACCATCATAGCATAATTTTCTTTATATGGACCCGGCTCTTCTTTCCTTAGGTATTTTCAAAGATCGCTACTTAGAGCGGTTGTGTTTTCATCTTCAGAGTGGCGCTGACAAAGTTCGAAGATTCTTTGTGTTCTTGAGTCACTTATTTTAGACCTCTCCTGTTTCATTTCCGTTAATATAACCACTGTTACTAGTTGAGAGGCTGCCCTGTTCGCTGATCATCCACTAACGGTGTATAGTTACGTTCCTTATTCTATTTTCGTATATACCACAAAACAAAATATTGTAAAGCAAAGGAATAGTGAACTAACCAAAGTGGTAGGTATGCCGACGGACTCTGCGGCTTCGAAGGCAACGGAGAAGTTGGTGCGTTTGTCGTGCGGCGACAGCGAGGAGTAGGCCACGCGCCCGTCGCCCAGGTACGAGTGCAGCAGCGCGCACAGCGCTAGCCCGTCGTTCCACGATGAACTGTAGCGGAAAACTCTTCGGTATTATAATAACTTGACCCAACTCCGTTTCCATTGTCCGTGTGATGACGGATTAAGAATACGGAGTGTCACTACCCCTATTCATCCCCATCAAGCTGACTACGGGAGCAAACTTGGCAGGATGACAGCACGGCATAGAGAAGGAAAACTAGACATAAAAAAGTTGGTATTGTAGGACAAAATCTCCTTTCTACGGCAAGGCCTATGTCCAGTAGTGTTGACTATTAAAATTATTTATGATGATGATGACACATCTCACAGACAGCCGTCTGATCCCCAACTAGACAAAGTCTGTACTATAGTTAACAGACTGCAGATAAACATACTTTTATATATTTCTAAATACATACAAATCATGATAAATTTCACCCAGACACAGAACATTATGCGTTGTGCTCATCACAAAATTATTTTTCCTGGGTGGGAATCGAACCCACCACCTCTGGTTTAGTAACAGCTGTTCAGTGATTTTTAAGATCCATATTTTTGTGGATAATTGTTGTATCAAAGCATCTTGAAGCTCAAAAATCCTAGTTTTCAGATCTCTTGTTAAAACAATTTTCGGGGCGACAGTTATCGATTAATTCAGAGAGAGAATTTTTCATGTTTTCTTTTGGATGAATGATTCAATATTTTACACAAATTACAGGAGAGAAAAATGCGCTGATTTCACTTAAAACCCTAATACCGTATTTTCTTCAGGCACTATGTATTTATCTTTATTAGTTAGTTAGTAGTGTTGATTGAAAACTTACCTAAAATTCGTAATGTCTATATTGTTGTACCCGAAGGTCTTCTGCTGACACCATTTCAGCAGTGCGTTGCGCTTCGAACCTCCATTCTTCACTTGTAAAGCATTTAGTGGATCTTTTCTCTCACCTATTGTAAAAAAAGTTTTAATTACAATTTATAATCAAGATTTAATTTCACGTTATTTCACCAACTTAGACATTAATCGTGTAGCATAGATATGCAAACATGTATAAAAAAACATTGTGAAGTAAATAAAGATCTCCCTTAACTAAAAAAACTTGTATTGAATTTACAACTTGAATTATGTATATAGGTTAAACAAAAGTCTGACCGTAACGATGGGCAGGCATTACCATATTATATTAACCACTTAATACTCTTAGCTCGATCATAATAAAATGTATGGCATATTTATTTTTGATGTGCAGGGATAAGGAAAGCTAGAAGGTATCTCATAGTACTGTTAGCTGTTGGAGACTTATCGTGCAACAGACGGAAGTCATATATGATTATCATCATAAGTTCCATTCATCGCTTCAACTCTACGGTAGAATATAAAAAAAAATTATACAAACATTTACCTAAACTTTAAATGTATACTCCTTATGTCTCTTCGAAATTAAACGAATTACTAATATCTTAACAGAGTGTAATTAGTCATATTAGAGGTAAAAGCGCGAGTTTTTATAAAGCAAATCACATCATTCACACATTTAAAAGTAAAATTTATTTTTAAAGTGTCAAGAATCTCACTTCGTAAAGTGTCAAGAATCTCACTTCGTGGCGTTCTACTTCGAACAGTATAGCCACTACCGTGTACAGTACTCACATATGTCGCCGTAACTGTTTCTTCTGACGAAGGACTCCATGGCCTTCTGCTGCAGTGAATGCAGCGCTCGCTGCTCATCGGGGATGTTACCGCCCGCCGCCGGCTCTGCCCCCCGAGCCAACGCACGTTAGACACAGTCAATGCAAGCGATACGCACACACACGACGGACTTGGAATATTTATTTCATGCTTTTTTTTGCAAGAAATATTGGTATTCGATATAGAAAAACCAATTTACTCTTATATTTTTATGTTAAAAAATCCCTGGCATTTTCTTTCAGGTTTTTATAAAATATGTAATTGTGATTTAAAATTCAGGGTAGAGAGATAAGAAGAACATTCTTACAGTAATTATTGCTTAAAGTTAAGGAACCGACTATAATGACGCTATTATCGGAAGAGAATTATAATATGAACTTAGCCGTTGTAAACAAGGTAAAAATAATATTATTTTTTTTGGTGATTAGGGTAGGTGTTAATTAATGCTGAATGATATCGTTCTCTTATTTATTGTTTATTTGAAAAATATTAAATACGAAAGAATCACTTTCTTTGTCCACTCATCTCACACAATAGCCACCTAAAATAACTCTTTATTCGGACGCTACTATACACAAGACTGTTCTTCCTTAACTCTACCCTCCAACGTTCGGAATTCTTAATACTGAAATTTTAGTTTTTTTTTTTAACTAATCATTATAAATTATTACAAGTCCGTGTGTGGTGTGTAAATGAGGGAAATATGTCCATATCCAGTATAACAATATGGAGATATTTTATAGTAAACACAAACAATGCAAAGTGTAACCGATTCCCAAGTTTAAAATGTGAACATGTTACACACCGTAGAGGTAAAAGTAATTTAAAAAATATATTGAATAGCGAAACACTCGTCTGCATAAAATAAGCAGAGTACCAACACCTCTTTGAATGATTTTTTTTCTTTTTAAATACTAAAGATATGTTAGTACATTGAAATTAAATCGTACTGTGCCTAGTACCATACTAGCAACAGTGAAAGGAGAGTTAAGTGACTGCTAAGTTAGTATACTGCACAATGTTCTACAGATTGCAATCAAAATATATTGATTTAATAATATTTGTAAGCTGAAACCTTCGTGTCTGGTGTAACTTCTCAATCTGATCAGAAGCTTCTTCTTGTAAAGGTGAAATAATGTCATATGTAAAAAAATTACGTTCTACTGATTGGAAAAAAAAGGTTGGTCCTACCGACCTTTTTTTTAATCATTTGGTTCACTATATTGTATCGAAAAAATCATCATCCAGAAACATCGATTTATACTGTTACTACTAAAAGTTGCTTGTACAGTAAAAAACATAAAAGTGTATTATTTAAGGAGCAATACAAAACTCAACAGCAATCAACTTATTATTATTTATTATTTACTTATTATTAATCAACTTTCTGAGAAGAATATCTAAATGTATAACGTAATCTTAAACAAAACAAGAATATAAAAAATAAAAATAAAAGTTGAAACATAAGGGTAAATAAAACTAGAGCTGGCATGCATGCATGTAATAGATTTAAATAATAAATTAAGGTGGACGCACACAAAAACATATAATATATAATATAGCGTTATTAGTTATAGGCAAGGGGTCGAGTCGGCTTACGCGCCTCGTTCATGCGGCCATGCTGTAAACAACAAGCGACGTCTCATGCTATTATGTAGCCGGTGTGTCATAACATAAGACTTCCTTAATATAGTTGGTACATAAAATGTTTTTTTTGGAACAGACAAATAACGACTTTTGTTCTATGTAATAAAGTCGAAATCCAAAGCTTAAAACTCTATCTAACGATTCGGACTTGAGACGACGTTACCCTCAATGTCATACCTGCAGACGTTTAAAATATAACATAAACATCTAATTTACTCTTAATTAGCCTGAAAATTCAATTCTAGTCAGGTGTTTGTTGATTTCCCAAAAGGTATCCAGGGCAATGTTTAGTATTCATTGTAGTACATATATTATTATGTATGTACTTAGTACATTAATTCACAACATAAGAATTAGTCTTATCCATTACTATTGTAAAGTCAATTCTACCCTACTTACTATATTTCTTTTGATGCATGAATTGTTTCATTACTGAGTGGCCAGGCGTTATTTAAACCTGAACCAACCAACTAATTTAACAATAATAAAAGCTGTAAAACAATCTACAAGTCTCAATTGCCGTTAAAAAACTACTATTCCCAGTATACCGCTACTAAGAAGACTATGAGATTCTTTGTAATACCATTAAAAATCTATGTACATATTGAAATATTATCTCTAATACTGTCTACTATGCTACTACTAGTATTTATTTTAAAGGAAGATTAGTATTTAAGATAAATATATTTAAGAAGAATACTGAATTGAATATGTACCTACTGTCAGAATATTAAATATTAAAACGCTTACATTAATATGAAATAATATTATTATACTTATTATTACGATAAAAATAGTGCAAATACATATATATCTAAGCAAAGAATTATGAAAATAGTGACGTAACAGTTCGGAACTACTTGGCGTTTAAGAGAACAATCTTAGCGGGCTAGTATTAGCATTAATGACGTCACTACTTTCTTGTTTAGTGTATAACTGACCTGTAGTGATGGGTGACGGTCTGGAACCTCTGGCTGGAGGGGGCTTAGAATAGCTGGAGGCCGCAATGCCGTTTGTAGGAGCCGTAGTTTCTGATATTCCGTTTTTTATGTTGTTCGCTGTAGTCGTGGTGGTTACTCCTACTGTGGTTTGCTGAACATAAATAGAAATTCATTTAGTAGTTCCTAAAGTATAAACGATTTTATTATACAATAGTACTTTACATTTAAGAGGATTAGTAAAAAACCGGTAAAATAATAACTATTATCACGTGACTGCAAATACTAACTACATAACTTACGTCATTTACCGATATACAATCTGACATGAGCCGCTGACTGACTGAGCGTAAGTCTTCTGAGTTTTAGAATTTATCTTTATAACTATAGATGTAAACAAGGGGAGATACATTTTTCGCAATATTTGTATATTTACCTGAGGCCAGTCTTCAACAGGCGTAGATGCCGGCGACTGCTGTTTAGCTGCTTTAGCCGCATTCTCGATACTCTCTATAAGCGACTTCACTGACAGACGGGAGTCCTGGCGACTTACTCCTGAAATAATAGAATTATGCCCTCATATACAATTGTCAACTACTGAAATACTAATAATGTACGACAGTAAAACTCCAGAAACTCTATTTCCGTGTGGTGACGGATTAAGAATACGGAGTGCCAACACCCCTCATCCCGTGGGTGTGTAAGAGCAGACTAAAGCAGCAAATTACGTAGACAACAGCACTGCAAAGAGAATTAAAACTTGAAACACACCCCTCACCAATCCGCCTGGCCAGCGTGGTATGCTAAATTTCCTTTCTAAGGAGAGGCCTATATCCAGCAGATGACTGTTAAAGGCTGCTATGATGATATATGAAAATGAAAATTCTAGATTTTTTTTTTAGTCTAGTCTGGTACTATAATACATAAAATGCTATAACTTGTAAGTTGTCTTCGGGTAGAAGAGGATACAATGTAAGAGTGACGTATTCATTAATTTTTGTATTGGAATAGTTTGATTTTTAGTAATACTGTTACGAACCTTCCAGAGTGTTCATTAACTGCAAAAATAACGTCCGATTTTCAGAAACAACTTAAAACGGCACATGACTGAACCATATTGCTATACGCTTACCTTAACATGTAACAATACGTATGAATTTTATATGAATTCCAGGCCCCTGAAACTTCCATACATTTTTCGTCACAAAAAAATTACAGAGAAAGTTCTGCCATCTCCATAAACATGAACTCAAACATAACTATTCATAGCTGCCGATAGGTGGAGCTTTTTGATTGGTTAAAATAAAACGAGAACTTTAAATTATTCAAGTGCTTTCTTTAATATGCTTATTTTTAATTGTTATGAATTCTTAATTTATTTTTTTACCATGAAAAATATTTTTGTAAACAAGCAAATAATTTCAATTTTAAACCATTTTTTTGAGTGAAAGGAAACGTAAATGACTAATGAATGACTGACAGATGTATGTTACTTTCAAAACTTTTCTGTTTCTAGTTTCGTGGTTTTTTGAATATCTTTTTTGTGCTGTTTTAAACTTTGACCCTGCTTCTCCCTTGGACCCTGTGATAAGATACGTAAACTATTGACCGTACGCTGTGAATATTGGATACTTGCTTGCTTTTGCGATTTGGATTCGACGACATTTTGAAATGCCGAGAATATCAGCTTTAAAGTGTTATTTTGGATGTTTTCCTTATAAAGGTAGGGTTTAGACAGTTTTTATAAATCAAAGTCCGCTTTTTTATTCGTAACTATGCTTTAAGGAACTTTGTACAATTAATAAAGTAAAAAGAAAAATAAGTTGATCATATGAGAGTTTTTAGAGCGATTGACTGATTTTGAAAAAGCATTTTCTTTATGACTAGAATAATAGCTGGAACTTTAAATCTACTGTCTTTCAGGAAAACTCCATAACTTTCCACCTGAGGAATACCCATATTCGGAAAAATTTGATCAGTGGAAAAGAAAAAAAAAAGGGAACATTTGATTAGCTAGTAAGCTGGTTTGTAACAATTTTAATATTTTTGTTTTAAAAGCAGAGTGTTAAGTTAATATATGTTATATATAGGTAGATAATTAACACTATATTTCATACGAGATTATTACTGTGTGAATTTTGATCAGAAAATGATTGCAAATTACGAGTAAATAAATATTTATTTATTGTTTTTAATGTTTTATTTGACTACACATCTTTCCCCACCCGTCAATCTTCAAATAGAAAATACATTAGCTCCATCTAGCGGGCAAGCTATGAGAAACACAGCGCCATCTCTGCGTTAGCGTACACTCGTTTTAATAAATTTGAAACCTCAGTGGCGCATCTATCTTAGATTTATAGTGTTTTGTCTATGATGAATTCTGACCTTTGGTTCTTCTATGTGATGCTGCAGTCGCCATTATATCCTGTAGAGAGGCACTGGTAAGCAATGGCGGGGGTGGAGGGGTTTCCTCTGTTCGTGGTGGTATTGCTGTCAAAAAGACGATAGGTTACTTATGTCATAAATTAATAAAGGCCACAGATTCTTGTATTAATAAGTTCATAATATCAACTTATGGTCCAAAACAATATCTTCATGTGTTTTGTTTAATATTTTCACAAAAACTTATACTTATTAAAGTGCATAACCTACACCATTGCATAACTAAGAAACTGCTGTCAAATGAGAAACATGCTGAGCAAGTAAATAATGTATGCGTTTTTTATGAATGAGACCTTAACCGCAGTTATAAACTATTTATATGTATTTTCTGTACTGTAGTGTTTAAAAGGTGTAAGCGTAGATATATGTATGCACAGCCAGAGTCTGAAAGTGAAATACAAACACAACATAAACTATTGAACGCCTCCCACACATTTGTTATAACTTTCATGTATACTTTAACATAATATATACGAGTATATATTACAGGGAGACCTATCTTTATCCTTTATAACTTTATACATATACCTAATTACTTAATGAGATGCTATGAAGAGCCGTTCAAAAGTTTACACAAAAACAACAAGTAGCCGCCACCTGATGAGACTCACATCACACGACATCATAATGTTTCCATACATTTATACAGTTATTTACATATTCACACGCGGACGATTAGCTTTCTTTCACAAAAGCGTCACTTACGTAGCGGACGACGCGGCGGTGGATCGTTCAAAGACCTGAGGGGATGCGACAATCGCTTGTGCTCCTGTGTCTTCCAGTACGGCCTTTGTCTTGGTAATGACCCCGTATTTGCGTCAATACTAGGAGAACGCTGAGTTTGTAAAGAAAATTTTCTTAAAGATACTTCTTTTGCCTCTGAAGATATCTTGTCCAGATTTTGTACTATCTCCTCTATAGTACCCGTAGATTTCTTTGGTATGTCTTTAGCACTAGGAGCCCTGGACAAGCTTATCACAGATTTAGTAATGCTCGCCATTTCTTTCTTTACTGCAGTACTCTCAATCAAATTAGCAGATAATGATTCAAGGTCTACAGATTTAGATTTTGGTAATCGGTTATCGTTTTTCGGCTTTTTGGCTCGCCTCGGAACTTTTAAAAGTTCTTCACGGGCTACTAGGGATAAATCTTCAGTCGGGTTTTGACTTTTAATGGATATTTTTTCGTCATCTGCGATATTTTCATTTTTTGGTATCTCTTCAGATATCACAGGTCCTATTTCTTCGTACACGTTCTCCTGTTCAGAATTCCGCCTAAATGGAACTGACAAACTAGAAATGAAGGGATTCGTAGTTACTAAAGGTTTATCTTCTTTTTTGTTGGTCGATTGATATGTGTTTGGAGTTTGAGTTGTATTTATAACAAAAGGTACATTTTCCAGGGGCTGATAATATTTATTTTCTATCAAAAATTGAGGAGACTTCGACAGTTTCACTACAGTTTTCGGAGCATCTTCGGATTTTGTTACAATTTTAGAACTGTCAAGAAATTTAGATGGTGGATTTAATTGTTGCACATCAGGTTTAGAGACTTCTAAAAGCTTGGTTATAACTTTGCTAGGTGATGGGCTTTTATTCTCAGTTATATTATCGTTGGATCCAAGAGTTTTCCATGATAAGAAAGGAAGAGATTTCACTTTTACATTCTTTTGGTATAATCCTTTCTTCTTGTTGCTATCATAATTTTTTTCTATTTCTGTTACTCTTTTTTCTATGTTGTTTTCTTTTTTGGCTTCAGTTGCCACTTGATCAATATCGTTGTAGTAAACTGTTGCTTTTTTAATTTCCTGCTTTGGTTCTATTGCAAAATTTTCTTGATTGATTATAGGTTTTAATAACACTGGTTGTATTAGAACCGGGCTTATTATGATTGGAGGTCCCTGTGCAATATTCATGTTCCCTACCTTAATGGGGGCTACAAAAGTTTTTAAGGTATTTACGGTTTTATTCTTGCTAATATTTGGATTAGTTTGAGTTGCAACTATCTTTGGTATATCATCACCTACGTCAGGGGTGTTTATTTTTAAGTGGTAGCTCACGCTATCATCTACTGTCACATCTGGTTTAGGAGCCACATTCTCATTAATTATTTGTGGAGAAGAACTGCCACTATCATCTTCAGTATTTAGAATAGTTTGCATATCAGACTTTATAGTATTACTTATATTTTCTGTAGTGCTTAACACTAATTTTTCTTTAGGTTCAAGTATTGGTAATTTTTTAAGACTAGATGGAACTATGTTGTTATAAGAATTATCTGTAGATGAAGGACATAAATCATTGTCAATATCGTGTCTCTGCAGTACTTTTGGAGGAGTCGTTTTCTTAGCCCTATTGTTACCGATAATTCTTTCAATTGCTGCTTTAAAAGTCGATTTCAATTCTTCATTCACTTGTTTAAACTGTTTCTCAACGTTATCATCTATATTACCTGTTTGAACTGGTTGAATTAAATTTATAGGAGTTTTCTTTATGTCATCAGGATAGGGAAAGGGAAGTATTTTTTCTGCTTTAACGACAGGAATATCGTATTTAACCTCGTTATTATTTGCTTCGAATATCTGATCAGCTTTATTGTTATTTTTCTCAATAGGTGACATGAAAACACTGTCTGATGATTCAGAAAAAAGGGACACTTCACTCTCATTTATAACATTTAGGAACTCTATACTGGTAGCCTCATTTAACGCATCCTTGTATTCTTCATTGGTATTCAAATTATCCATACTGACAGCCTTTGGTTTGCCTTTATACATTCCTGATAGATTGGTATTTAATATATGATCACTCGGCTCAGATGAGTAGACGGATTCAGATTTCACTAACCTTATTCTCGGATTCAGATTATCTACTTTATCAGGATAATCTACAGGAGGATCTACTGTCTCATCCAAGTCAATTGCATCTTGTCGTTTTAACTCTTTGCCTTCATAAGGAGATAAGACACCTTCAGCTAAAACTCTACGAGGATGACCTTCTGATGACGTCTGACTTGAGTTGACTTGAGTTTCATCATCATTGGTTTCTTCTGTAGTAACATTCTCAATCTTAAATAGCGTGGGCTTATCACAGGCGGCTCTCAACTCGGGAACACTGTTTGACTTGTAAAAGGCTTGATCGATTATACTATTTTTAACTGGGTTATCGGTGACACTATGTACTCTAGATAAATATCTAGTTCTTATACTTTTGAATACATTAACAGAGTTTATATCATCCATTTGCGAGTCCAAAGAATCAGATTTCTTGAATTCTTTATTATCATCCGAATATACGCTATCCACAGATTCCGACCTGTCAATACCTGTGTTGTACATCAAATTGAAATTAGACATGGATGGTATTTTGCTTTTTATGTTAGTACGTATGGTACATCTAATATTGAAAGCTTTTTACACAGAATTAGTGCATGAGAATGCTTGTTAATTCTGCAGACTGAAAGGACCAAAATCGTTTTTAATTATTTTATTTTTATTTTGGTAACATGCAATGCATTTTGAGATCATTTTACAGCTAACTTGACAATAAATCTTTATTATTATAAATAAATTTATCTCAAACAAAGCTTGAATTTAATTGACAAAAAAACCTTTCGTGCTTATTTTGCAAAATACAAAGCAGAATATATAAAATGTTAACATACTTCTAAAACTACTATCAATCCTATATTTTATAAACATGCTATGGTCTTTCTTGCGAGGTTTTTAGCGAAAACAAACTGTAAAATAATATATTACATAATGTCTATACATCTCCTATGATTGCATTTAAGTTTAATAACAAAAGCATATTTTGTCTATCACATTCTAAATAACACAGTAAAGATTACTCAAGGTTTGGTACCGAGATGGTATTCCTAGTGCAACTACACTACGACTACTCAAAAACTCAAAAACTAATTTATACAGTTTACGGTGCGCATCAATGATTTCACCATACATTTTTCGAACACACACAGTTGCTAACTAACATAATGTATGGAGAAATTAAAAAACATTTACTACAATAACTCATACCACAATTACGTAATAATTTTTTTATTAACATAGCTGAAATTGCTTTCAAAATTTAATAAACAATAAATAGATATTGGTTTTACATACTTAGCATGTAAATTCCCATTATAGGTAATTTCTACATACGCTAGCTACAGTATAGACGGTTAAAAAAAAATCACGCAAAAACTCGCAAGTTCACCTACATGTAAATCTCTCATAGCTTTCTCACACTTACCCTTGAGCGAGTGCATCTGATCTTCCAACAATCGTATGCGGTCTCTTGCTACTTTATTTTCAGAGACGAGTCGTTCTAATTCCCTCTGCGCCTCGGTTTTGAAGTCGTTGGCGACGCGTACCGTCATCAAAAGATCGCTTTGGAATTGTTTCCACTCGGTTTCCTAGAGGTTTCAGTATTTTTTTTATTATTTAGGAAGTACATTTATGTGATGAATGCAGAAGAAGTACAGTGCAGCATCTATTCAACATTGAACAAACAGACTACCAACTGAGGTGCCACCAACTTGTTGTTGGGTTACTCCTATACAGCGGTTGTCTAGTGTAGAAATCATGGATAACCTATATCATATAACATTTAAATAATCCCACGATTTTTTTTCTTTTCTCTTAAATAGACAAATGTCGCACTAGGAATACATCCTGTGTCGTGAGAGAACATTCATGTAAGGGATAAAAAAAAACACCCAGGCTCACGACAACAATTTGTGGATCACATAGTGTTGTTCCAGGTGGGGTTCGAATCCAAAACACTCAGCGCAGTAGGAAGCGGCGAGGTGACCGTTTCAACCCCTACGTCATCCGTGCGGTCAAATATATTATTATAAATGTGTAACTCTGGGCGCACATTTGGGTAGACTCTGTTCCTAAAGAGATTCTTTTTTTATGTTGGCGCATTTTCTTACAACCCTAACATTAGTTGTGTCTTGCCCCAAAGATGGCATCAGATAACAGAGTGTAGTTATGTGCGTAGGTAGTTAAGTATCAGACTCACGTCCCGCTCCCTGTCCCTGGTGAGCTGCGCGTGGCGGGCGCGCGCGTCCTGCAGCTGCCGCTCCAGGTCGGCCACCCTCGCCAACGCTTCACCAGCCCGAGACATTAGTGCCAACTTCTCGTCCGAAGCTACTTGTACCTAAAACGTTTTAATTCTTGAAAATACCCACAATTTTAATGTTTCGTAATTTTTTACAGTGCAGTCGGCAAAATTTGAGTCCTCAGTTATCCCAGTAATTATATTCAAGAAATAACTTGGGTTTTCATCCTGTTACGTAAAATTTAAAAAAAGATGCAGTATCGTACTTATTCGTTTACAGTGCGGATGTGACCATGGTCAAGGCAATCGGGTCGAAACGTTATTTAATTGAAAGGTGTGTATTACTTATTAACAGCGTCCATTCCCGTTCGTTACTCATAATCATCTCACTTTACCTTTAGATAGATTGGAAGATATTCAATTGCTTACTTGTATCTGTAGCTCCTCTGCGTTATCCTTTAAAGTCTTCATCTCGCCTTGCATGGCTGCCTTCTCTTGACGCAGTTGCTCGATCTGGAATTCCAGCTCCGATATCGTAGATTTCGCATTGTTTCTCGATACCTGTAACGCAGAATATATTTATTATTACACGGATTTTTCTTCTTAACTCTAATAATCTTTAATCTAATTTCTTTAGCGTTAAATTTAATATTGTATTGATAATAAAGTTAGAAACGTTTGTATGGAGGTACCAGCGCGTCGTCGTGCAGTTTCCGTGCGTCGAAGTGCGCCTTGTCGAGCTGTCGCTGCGCGTGCGCAAGTCGCTCGGCCAGCGCCAGCGCGCGCGCTGCAGCGGCGTCCGCGTCCCGGCGCGCCGCCGCCGCGGCCGCCTCCGCTTCCGCCGCGCCCGCCGCCGCCCCCGCTCGTTCTTCCAGCTGCGGAAACGCTCAACATCTAAACTCCGCTAGCACCTATACGACACACTAGGCTAGGATACGTTGAAGCGCGCAGTTGGAATTTTTTAACATGTCATAACTAATATAAGTCAAGTGTCACCACACCTCAAGAGCACGTTAAGCCGTCGGTTCAGGTTGCCATACGAACATCTATTCGATATCGCCTAGTACTTAGGTTGTGGAGGTCTGATAGCACTCGCTTCAGGTAAAAAATCGAAGTTTTGCCGCGGCGTAGTAAACTAAAACCCAACCCAATCTAATTTGAGAAAAGGCGCGGTAAAAGTTAATACATATTTTGTATATTTTTTATATATATATATTTATTTAGAAGTATATTGTTAGATTTATTATATTTTTGACAAAACCTTTTAGAAAAATACTCATGAACTGCAATAAAATGTGGAAAAAAAGAGATAGATGGTCTCTTAAATAATGTTCTAAATGTTGTTTGTGTTGTTTTAAATGTTCATATGGACGTTTTAATAGAGGATGTTGTTTGTCACCCTGCCTCAAAAAACCCACCTATAAAATGGAGTTATCATAAATGAATATTTAGAAGTTTTCGCGTAATATGAATGAGTGTAGCAACTTACTAACGTTACCTTAGCCTTAGCAGCGTCGAGCAGGTCGGTGAGCGTGGCGATCTGGTGCTGCCTCGTGGCGGCCTGCTCCCGCGCCGACTCGGCCTCGTGCTCACATCGGACTCGTTCGCTTTCTTCGCGTTCTACGTTAGCTTCCAGTGTGCTATAAGAATATGATTAATAGTAGAGGAGCCCTCGATGATAAATGGGGATTTACTTGAGCGTCATGGGGACCTATTACATTTCAAAGATTAGGTAATAGAATGAATAAAAGTCATTTAATGTTTACACTTTCAGCGGTGGGAATAGCTTCTACAGGTTTAAAAAAATATTAGCGGAGGATATCGAAAAAAATAATTCGGGCGCATCAGATATTTTATGTCATTTGGAAGCAAAAAAATTAGTGACACAAGCTGTTAAAATGCAAACTACAAATTTGAAAAATCGCTATTTCGAAATACGCGAGCGTGTTAGATTTTATACAGACGTAGCCAACAATCTGACGATAATTTTGCAGGGTATTTTAAATCAGACGGTTTGAAATATTTAGAGATTTTGTTTTTTTTTTTATAAAATGTTACAAAAAATGCACAAAAAATTATGTAGACCTTTAAAGAAGAGTTCTTCCGTTGTTTGCTTCAAAATGAAAAAGAAATGTCAAGGTCATGTGTGTTTTTTGGAACTTTGTGACCCTTCCTTTATGCTGCGCTTAAACATCTCGACTTTTTTTTTAAATACACACTAATGTCTACGTGACTCAACTTACCTTAATCTTACACGCTCGAGTATTTTTGGGCATCGTTTTTTTTTATCTAATCTGATGGGCTGCCCTAGACGATCTCCACTATATGTAGGGCTCATGTATGGCGGAGGTACTCAACTGGGCATAAGGTATTCCCCCTATGTTAATCTGACACGCTCGGCTAAATGCCGAAATTCCTTCTAGGGCACACCTACATTTCAGTGAAGCAGTAAGCAATAAAAACAATTTAAAAATTTAAGGCAAAAATATCACACCTGGAAATGGCGTTATCTTTACATAGTATAAAAACTATAAATATTTTTATTATTATTTTAAGATGTTTATTTATTTTATAAACATCACGTCAAAATTATAAGGGTACAATTCGACAACGCTATGAGTTTGTTTGAAATATAGTTAATAAAACTTATGATTTATACGTATAATATGTCATTATTTGTACCGTATTCTCTCAGCAAGCATTTCATTTTCTTTGGTTTTTTCTTCTAGCGCTGTCTTAGTCTGGCTCAACTCAGTTTCCAACTGCTCCTGTTTCGATAACAGATGCCTTCGCTCTTCTTGGGAAACCTGGAACAAATACACATAGACTCAATAGCAATATTATATTGTATATGAAATGTATAATGTACAGCTGTACATACACCGCAGATAACCGCTTACCATCAGTCAAGCCGTAAGTTAATTTGTCAAATTACACATACAGTTGTATAACGAGAATAGCTTAATATTTAACAACAATAAATACAACTGGATCATCGAATTAATATATTTAACGAAATTCGTATTCGTCATTTTAAATTGCTATTTGTATTTTAATCTGGCCATTTTGATATTTAAAAAAAGACTGGATGGTCAGTTACTCTTTTGTAGTGGATATGTCGGACTCGTTAACTGCGTAAGTGGATAAACAGTTGACGTTGAAACTGGTTTGCGTACCTTAAGCACTGCGAGGAGCTGTTGATCAGGGTCCCCCGATACCAGTATCTCGGGCTCAACTCCTTCCCGAAGAAGCAGTTCTTGAAGTGTGTCGACCTAAAAATAATAATATAGTTGCACTACGAACTAACTAACAAACGAATGGTGCCATGTCATTTTTTCAACAACAATTTAAAGATTGATAGTTTGTTAAATGTACTCTCGACATAAAAGTTTATAAATCTTGTAGTAATATTTCCTGTAAAAATAAAGCAGAATCAAAAAGAATTAATGAAAAAATGCGAAAGATGTAAGTTAGGGGCCCTCCTTAAATGACATCACACGTTAGGGGACGCGGGGGATTTAACAAAGTGTGACATTGTGTGACAAGGGGTTAGGAGAATACATGACAAGGACGGTAGTGGGAGACACAAAGCCATAAAATTCGTGTACTGTAATTAATGGGTAGCCCCTTATCTGTAATGAAGAATGCTATAACTTTGATACCTTTAATGTTCTACCTACGTTCTTCTAAGTAAAGTATTATGTGATGCAATAAATGTACCTTAGTGCGACTATCCTCTAGCTTCTCGGTCTGGCGGCAGAGTGACTCGAGCAGTACTTGCTTCTCGTCGGCGAGACGCTCGTTGTCCGCGTGAGCGTCTGCTAGCTGTGATTGAAGGTCCGCAAGCTCCGCTAACGTTGCTTGCAACTCTTCGCTTGTACTGTCAAATTAGAAAAAAAATACATTTTATCTATCATTTTAAAGTCTATCATTTCGTATAATCTCAAATATTATGATCATTTAAATAGGTGTTTGATTAAAAAAAGTTATGACATTTATACTGATAGAGATATTAAATTACTATTTACTGGTTGCCTGTTATACAAAATAAAAAAGAATCATACCCCATGCCTTATGCCACTTGATGTTAATGAAGATTCTTAATCTTAAAAGACTACAAGCTTTCTTTTGTCTCCCTTATGCTGTTAGAAAAACATTACCCAAGAGGAGTATTTAAAATGATTCCAAGATAACAAATTTTCTGGTAAAAACAACACAAGGAAAATAAAAAAATAGTTTTCAATTTCCTTTTCTTGTGTTTTTATGATATTCGGATATTGTACACATATCTAGTATACCTATAATGGTGCTCCTCCATCTGCAGTATACGGTCCTGCAGGCACGCGACAGAGACCTCGCTGAGTGATGAGGACGAGTGCTTGTCCCACTCCGGAGTGCTGGCTTCCCCGCTGTCGCCTTCGCCCTTTAAACGACAATGGAAATTATTGTTAAGGGTATCTGGTTACTTATTTATTCTATATTTGTTCCAGAGCTTATCAGTATCTTATTTTGTACATCGTATATTGGTTGATAAGAGCTACTGCTATTATATCTACTCACTACTAGAGTCGGACTACTAGACTCACTACTAGAGACGGAGTCACTACTAGAGATGGTTTCACTTTTATAACCGGCGGTTACTCCCTTAAATTAACCGTTTAGATGTGATTTATGGGCAAGAGGTGGTAAAATGTTAGTATGATAATACAACTTACATTGTGGGCAAGAGCGATGGAGGCAGGAGCGGAGGAGTGCATGCGGCGCGGCGCGGGCGCGAGCAACAGTTGCCGCTTCTCGCTGTCGGAGAGCGGTGAGTGCGCGACGCCGCGAAGCCGCGCGCGCAACGCACCGTTCTCGTCAGCGAGACGCTCCAACGCTGCTTCGCGATCCACTTCCACACTCTGGAAAATTATATCATATACCGATCACACATACAATCACGCCTACATCCCCAAAGGGTCAACAGAGATGTATTAAAAGGCCTATTTATAATTTTAATTTCAATTATGTGATAAGAGGGCTTACTGGCTATGAACATCGTTAATGAGGCTTTTAGGGATTAGGAGTGGGAGTAGGAGTATATTGCAAGGAAAGAAAGGAATGCAATGGTAGTTAAGGTATATTACTTTTACGGATGATTTGAGGAGTGTAAGCAACAGCTCGAGCAGGTTGTGAGCGCTTATCTCTAACTGAGATTGGCCATTATCGGATAGTCAGAGCAATCTAATCGTTTATATAATATACTGGTCATAAAACTAATCAATCAAATATATCATAACTAAAATATCTAATTTTCATGATTGTTTGTTTACCAAGTTTTAGACTAGAGATACATGTACAATGCATTTTTTTTTGTTAAGGGGGCCAAACTAGCAGACAGGTCACCTAATAGTAATTGACTACCACCGCCCTTGGACAGCTGTAACTCAAGAGTCAAAAGTGAATTGCCGCCCTTCAAGTCTCTCTGACTAACAACGGTTTTCTGTGAGGCGCTGGTACCACGTCGGTCGAGCCGGCCCATTTGTGCCGAGCCATGGCTCTCCAACGGTAAAATTAACTTTTTTCTTTTTTAATTGAATACTCTAGAAGATAATAACTACACTTTGTTAGATTTTCATACGGTACATCTATGTACACATCACACAAAGTAGTATTTCTGTTCTTGGGCTACTTCCGACCACTTGGCAAGGCCTAAACATTTTTTGGCTAAAGTAGAGCCACCAATGGAGTAATAATATGAATATAGTTTGGTACTACAAGGAGAAAAGTGACCTTACCTTCAGCCTTTCAAGCTCGGCCCTGAGCCGTTCAGCTTCAGATGCTTTCTCCAACAATTCGTCAACCCGCGTCTGTAGTTGTGCCCGTTCCATTGTACTCACTTCTAATTCTCGCCGCAATGACTCGATCTCGCGTACTCCAGATGCCAAAGATGCCTGAATAATTATACAATTAATTTTAACTATATCTGCCCGTTATGAATACCACGTACAACTATTAACCCTAAACATATTGTAATCTAATTGTTTTCTAAAACAACAGAGAGAAACAAAAATTCTCATAAACAAATATGTTTTACTGAAATATCAATGATTCCTGTCGATTTTTTTGTGTGTTTAGTTTTTATCTGTGAGTATGGAGAGATAAAATCTAAGGAAGTTGTAAATACTATGTAACTTGTGTATAATAATAAAACTGCGCAGTACATTACATTGTTTTCAAGGTGTTTACACCTTATTATTGTAAAAATAAAGACAATCTTAAAAAAAGAAACATTGTCTTAGTCAAGAATAAATATTTTACTCAAATTATTCTATCATATTATGATTAAATTAATATTTTTGAAGTTAAATTTATAATTTCAACATTAATCTGCATGAATTTATACTTTAACATGTTTATATCTTTATTAGTTGCGTAAAATTCGAATATTTTACAAGAATTATATTTTGTTTTAATAAAAAAATTATATTAATAGTTTAGTTAAAAGTTTCAATTAAAATAGTTTATTGTTGACATTCTTAAAAATAATATACTAAAGTATTGCAGACGTTATGAATGGATAAATATTATTTTCCTGTGCATATTATTAGAGGAACACAATAGATATGAATCCTATTATTTTCTTAAAATAAACTAATTCATTTTCAAGATACAAGAATGACTAATTACATATATGCAAATACTTAAGTGTGAAGTAATAACAGTCTCTTAATACAATATTCAAAAATAGGTACATTCACAAACCAAGACTGGCTCGAATTTACGCCTTGTTAAATTAAAATTGTTCCCAACCCGTTGCAAGATCTACATGTATTCGTAATCACTCCTTCTTAATAATACTTGGTTTTGAAAGAATTCAAACACTTTGGCTGATTTTATAATCGAATCTGTTTTTATAATAACCTAAACTAATAAAAATAAATAGGTCACACACTTATATACACGTACCCGTAGTGTTTATTCTTCTTAATCTCTTAAGCTAAGTAAAATAGTTGTGTAATTTGTATTTGATATACAAATTCAAGGGTTCAAATTAAAGCCGGCCAGCCGATAATGTGCGGACACTATCGTCTGTGTCACAATGTTATTTCCAATCTTGTTTTTAAGTTTACAGTAAGTACATTCTTAAAAGTTTTTTTTTTTTTTATAAAAAGACAACGCCCGCATTAGGAATAAATCCTGTGTCGCGGGGGTCTTTACAAACATACATGAAACGGACACAAAGGACACCCAGACTCAGAACAACAATTTGTGGATCACACAAAGTGTCGTCCCATGTGGGGTTTGAACCCACAACACTCGGCGTAGTAGGAAGCGGCGTGGCGACCGCTTAAACCACTACGCCATCCGTGCAGTCTCTATCCAGGATATAGGATATAGAAATAACAAATACTAAAGTTCGTCTGGTAGTTTGAATTTGATGATTTCTTTGTCCACTTTGAATAACTTCAACTTACATTGTTAAGTTAGGTACCATATTGGACGCGTGTAACTTGATGTAGCAGTTCTTTCTACATTTCTACACATAACTTTAGTTGTCCAAATCTTTATACAAATATGTAAATAAATATGAGTACAGTTGATAATTTAACATTCACTACCCGTTTAAATGCCTAGCAGAAACAGTTATAATAAAACAATACTCACCTCAGATGGTACTCGAGGCCTGAGGTCCACTTCCTGGAAGCCTGGCATGTGTTCAGCATTCAAAGTGACGGGTAAACTGACACACTCCTGCGACCCGCACCCGTCTACGGACCCACCCAATTCTTCGGCACTGCCATAATCATGACCTCCAACCTGACCATCTTCATACTCTCCTAAAACCTCCCTTAACTCTGGGTCTTCTAAAACAGCATTGTTATTGCCCAAATCCTTCTTTTTATGAGCTTTATGCAGTTTCTCCTTCGACCCAAAGATTTTAAGCGTCTTATCTCGAGCTGGTGCGACCTTGTGGTGCTTTGAGTCGAGGCTGGAGATTGAAGGAGCACCCTTTAGGGTGGACTCCTGTTTCCCTTGGCTTGGTCCTCTACGGAACAATGATTTGAATTTCATCATCTTGAATTTTATAGCATTTTTCGTTTTCGTTTCAGTTATCGAAAAAGTTCGGTTTCATTTCGTTATTTCGCTTTGTTTTTCTTACGTGATCGGAATTAAATTAGTGCATTGATACATGACTGGAATTTGAAAGCGAGTGTCTCGGATAATTAATGAAAGTCTGGACTTTAATTTTTTATTGTACCGTAAATGGTTTAACCTAATAAAATAAAAAATTATACTCGAGACAGATGCTGGCATCTGGTGAGGAAACTATCACTAATCAAACTCGATAAGAAAGTGTCCTTAACAGACCTTATCTACATACGTGTAACTGATAAAATATGGCAATTAATCAAAGGCAATGAAGATAGCGATGTTGCTATATAAGCAATTTTGTGCTTCACGTTTAATTCAATCAGTGCGGTTTAAAAAAAATTATAGCGATTTGGAATCTTATCTGTAAAACCAATACTAAATTAGCAAACACCATCAATAAAATTATCTTATACAAGTATTTCTTAAATCGGATCAATTAAAAATGTCGGAACGATAGAAAATTCTGAACTTGTGTGAACATAATGGTGATTATCCTAAGTCAAATAACATACATAAACTCTGATATCCCGTAGTACTTCGAACTAAGTATTACAAGCTAATATCACTTTGGTTAGTTTAGTCATAGTGTAAACAGGGCCTTATTACCAAGCGAGGTTAGTTTCTGACTCAACTAATCTTAACGACATTGCACGTGGGATGGATTGTCGCGTACTTTAAAATGTATTAAACACGAGTACGTATTGATAATCCATGCATGTACGGTTGTAATGTTATGCAGACTAATCATTTAGTAATTTTGTAGTGATTTCATTCGGTGATCTACGTACTAAGTTAACGGTTTTATCAGTTTATTGGATGTTGAAGTAGTATTACATACAAATTAATTCGCCTAAGCCTATTGAATATGGATATTATAGTGTTTAGAGCATTATGAAACTTGTTTAACGAACTATTTAAAACTTTTATTCGTGGCGTTCACTTAAGATTATATGATAATAAGGTCTCTTGGGGAAATCATAACTTATGTTTTTATGATAGTTAAAATTCTATGTAAAAGTTCCGTTTAAAAGTTCTAATTTTATATGAGGATGGACAGTGGTAAGAATGGAAATAAGAGTTCTTTACATTTCAATTAATTTTAAATGGATATATATTTTACTGTTTTCTTTAATAAATAAAATAGGATCACATTTGATTGTTTATACTTCTTTGAACCAGTCCGATAAGTGGGTATAAGTTAATATTTAAGGAAATAGACATGAAGATTTAAGTTGAAGTATGGTTGCAAATTAGTATTGACATAATTTTTAGGTTGCCCAGGTCTAAAGTAAAGTGTTTAATAAAATGTTACTATTTAATCATTTCTTATAGATCTCACACACCTCTTTTTGTCTTTGGACAAGACATTGATTCTTTCGCTAAATGTTTTTCGTAGAGGCTCTTTTTGATTCTATGTTTCTGAGCAAATTGCTCTGTTTAGCAGGGGTCTTAAACAGATTTTGCCTTTTAACCTAAACCAGTGTTAGTGTATGTATGTAGAACTGTGACAGACTGGAATGTTGACGGCCGAGATGCTAACACCTCTAGAATTTATCCAGCGTACAAGGATGGGTGAAGGATGGCTGGCCTTGAATACAGAAGCAACGGACACGGTCTATTAATCTGTAACCACAGCGCGACTAAGCTCAAATTCATTAAAATTTAGTTTAATGTGTCTAAACAATCACCCAGACGATGCAGCGGTGGTCAGAGGCGCAAAGAGCCCGTGCGAGAGGGGAAGACGGTTTGGACTTCTGCTCAAATCAAATGTTGTACAAAGATTGCCACAATTACGCCTATTTTAGATACCAAACCAAAAATAGAATGAACGATATTCCTGCTAGTCGCAAACGAAATTCCCCAACACGATATACTTACATTCAAACACAATTACCCCCCACGAACGCCACTTATCTGATAATCCCGGTGATCGGGGGCAGGGCATGTCCTGTCTCCCCCGCTACCCTGCGTTTCCCCCTTCATACCACGTTTCTCTGCATGCAAATAGATAGGGTGGGCTCGGCACACCTCTTTGTTTGTATTGCACATTCAATAGCAGCTATCCCAATGATTTTATATTGTTCCATTTATAGTTTTCAATAATAGCTACCCGTTTTTAAATGCTTTAAATACTTAAGATAGGCAAAGCATTACGAGTATTGTTAGGCGCATGAATTCAAAATACAAGCTCTTGCTGTAATAAATTTCGTATAAATCCGTTTAAAATATGGGTGTAAATGAATAACAAATATTAATTCACACAGTTGTAGGTATCTTAATATTTTTAACTTTAGTATCTCAGACTCTCAGTATTAAATAGGAATGCTAAAGGACTTAAACAACATTTGCCTGCAGGCAAACTTTTCTATATGTTTACACTATTAAAAATAAAATAATTTGCCATAAATCTTAACATCTTTATTGGAAACTTGCAAACTTGGATCGGAGATAAAACAGATCCAAGTTTGCAAGTTTCCAACATCAAAGGCGAGAAACACGTTAATAATTAATTTTAAAACAATTTTGCATTTCTGGAATTACGAACGCCTATTATCATCATCGTCATTACCGTCCACAGGTGAACGAAGGCCTTTCAGTACGCATCCATCATCTGCCATCCATTTTCCTCAAGTCTTCGGTACATCGTGCCGCTGGGCGTCCTACACTACCTTTGCCTAATCGCGGTCTCCACTCTAGCACATTTCGGCTCCAGCGACCATCTGCCTGGAGACATGACCGGCCCACTTCCACTTCAGCGTACTGATTCTCCTATATATATCCTACCTATATATATATATATAGACCTATATATTCTCAATAAATATTTTTGTCCACAAATGAAAATTAAAATAAGAACTTTAAAATTAAAACTTACAAGTAATAGGTAAAGATCGTGGTAAGTTAATTAACACAATCGTTTTATAATAATTGGCTTCTTATGGCATTATTCATAGGTATGCTAACGTCATTTTAGGGAAACTTACAAGAATAGGTTATTAAGCATAAGAACATCAAATACAATAATTTTAGATTGATAATTGTATTTAAGTGTATTGCAGAATTATTTGTCCAGACTGGACGACCAAAGCAAAATCAGAAAACAATATTCTTAAAAATACATTTACAAAATATTCATCTTGTCAATAACTTTCTTAACTTGTAATATAATGTTTTTTTCCTGTGTTCGTGGGCTTTTCCCTATACTTCTTGTGTTTTAAGTATTGAAACGAATAATTTAAGTACTAAATCATAAAAAGTAGTAAAAAGCAAGATTTCGGCAACGAGAGTGATGAGATAATTATTTAGAATATACCTTTTGGTGTAAGCTCTTATAAGGTATATTCTAAATAGAATATAAAAACAATTCTAAGCAAAAGTGGTGAATATTTTATATTTAAGACTCCACGCCTATGCTCGAAACACGAACTTGGGCTATTCTGTGTCAATTTGCTCCACTTAATTCAATTGAAGCATGCCATAGCATGTAAGTAAATGTATGGCTAAACTGAAATGTGTGCGTGGTTAATGTGTATGTGCGTAAGCGTATGCCAATTTGTATGTGAACGGTGTACGACAACGGACGCGGCTGCCGATTTAGGATCACAAGTGTTGATTAGATATACGCAGACAGTGCCAATCGCCGCCTTTAACTGATGGTAGTGTATCGTGCTGGAATTTTGCACACAACACGTATTCTACCAGGCATTATATTCCAAAAACACACGCAATGACTACGTCAAACTATACCAACCTCTGTCAGCATGGCAAAAATGGTTTTACTGTTCCTTATTTTGCAAATCGCATGTATGTCCATACATCTAAAACCCAAAAAACCATCGAGTTGAATGCAAAAACCTACATAACGCAGTCCAGTTAGGATAGCACGCAGTTTTAGAGATTAATTTACAAATACCTCATTGTAACTTCGAGTTTACATGTTACAAGTCTTTCTAGTTATCGACTCCTATTTCACCTAATTCAACTGTCTTTTAATTTTAATCAAAAGTCATTTTTCGCAATCTTGTTATTTCATTGAGGGAGTTAATGTCGTGGGGATTATAGTCATCATTAGACACGTAAGCCGGCTCAAAGCTACAATAATGGGTATTATAGAATGAGATCTTTGAAAATCAGCTTTGTAATCAGCTAGGTCTTTAGTAATCATTTGTCAGAGTAGGTCGAACATATTTATTTTTATTTTATTATCTGCTTAATACCGTATTGAATTTGGATTATTGCCATGTATTTAGTGACAATTGTAAGATCGACACAAATCGGTGTAAGTATATAACCTTATTTCTAAGGAGAGGCCTATGTCCAGCAGTGGACTATTAAAGGCTGTTGATGTGATGTGATGTGATATCAAGATGTGCTATTGAAATAAAATTCATAAAATCTACATCCTTTTCTTCTATACGTTACGCAGGAAAAGCCGGATGATTTATATATTTTATAAATTAAACTATTTAAATAAATCGATACTTATATTATAAATATGAAAGTAAGTTTATTTGTTTGTTTATTACGCTTTCACGCCTAAACAACTATACCGATTTTAAAAATTCTTTTACCTTGGAAAGCGACATTATCAGCGAGTAACATAGGCTTTTTACCGCCATAACCGACATACACGCGGGCAAAGTTAGTAAAACAAAAGTCGTCTTGCCACTAAGCGGCGTTAGTGTTGTGGATTCGATATTCATTCTGTAGTGGTCGAGCATCCGGTTTACGTTATATTATAAAATAAGTATAATATAACGTAAAACGGATACTAAACCAGGGCTAAAACATTCTAACAGGGTGAAAGAGTTATTAATTGCATTGCATTGCAATGTGCATTAGTTTTATACAAACTCAAAGTTATAACATAAGAAACTAAAAACATGAGATAATAAAATTCATAAAAGAATATCAAAAGAAAA